AGGCCCTGCAGCTGAAAGGCTGGTCACCTTCACTTGGCCACGTGACCCCCCCTTTTCCCTGTTGTAGTGTTGGGATGGAAATAGGGCCTTGGCACTGAATTGCACCCCGCCATTTTATTTTGGGACAGGCTGGGCACCAACATGCGATCCTCCTGCCTCAGCCCCCCAGGGCACTGGGAAGACAGATGTGCACCACCACACCCACTGCCTCCTTTAAGGTTGAGCAAAAGCGGTTCACATAGGGAACCCCAGCTCTGTGCCTGGCGCTGCCCCCCGCCTGGTTCCCGAGGCCTGCTGCTATGCGGCAGGCAGCCCTGGGTGCTCTGGGCTATCCCAGGGAGGCAGTGAGAATGTCCTCACCTGGCCCCCAGCCTGTTCTGTCTGTCCTGTCCTGGGGTACAGGCTCCCTGTGCCCCTGTCTGGCCTCAACTGCCTTCCTCTTATGTGTACCATGTGCTGGCCTGGGAGGGGAGTGAGGAGAGGGACAGGGAACGGTTCTAGGGGCCACTCTGAGGGGTGACACCGGAGCCAGGTCTCGGGTAAGCGGTGGAGCAAACCCTGCAAAGGGCTCAGGAAGGTGCCCCAAGTAGAGAGCAGTTTGTGCAAATGGCCTGGGGCAGGGTGGAACCTGGCTCTTGGGGGCTTTGAGAAGGAGCCTGTGGTACAGCAGAGGGAGCTGAGCTGGAGGGGTGGCCAGGCTGCAGCACCATCCCGGCGACAGGGCGGGACTGCAGGGGTGCCAACCCCCCCATGCCCTCCACCTGACCTCGCCCGCCGGCCCGCCCTCCAGCAGCCAGTTTCCGGCCTGGGCTGTCTCACTTCCTCATTGACAGGCTCCATGGGTGCCACCTACCATGCTTGGGCCTGCTCGCACTACAGACCGACCCACTTTGCTCCCTGGCTGAGGTGTGCTGTCCCCTCCCCTGGAGCTGCCTGCCAGCCCACAGCAGGCACTCAGCACCACCAGTGTCCCTCAGCCCGGCTCCTCCTGCCTTCTTGCTGCTTGTCCGTGAGTCTGGGCTGACTGCCCAGTCCTCAATTCTCTGCCTTTCCTGCCAGCATGTTTGGGGCATGCAGGCGGGCTGTTAGGCCTCAGTTTCTGCACCCGACAGCATGAAGGAGCAGCTCTTGTAGAGGTCTGTTGTTGGGGTCCATTCTGATCATCAGTTAGTCAACAAATTCTTGAGGGTGTCAGCCAGAAAGAACTAGGAGAGGGTGTCATTAACAGGGCAGGGAAGGCAGCTGGCGAGAGGCTGAGCATCCAGGCAGGTGACTTCAGGCGGAGAGGTCTGAGGCTGGGCACAGACCAGGAAGCAGCTGAGAGTTTGGAAGGTGACAGGGAGGTCCCATGCAGGAAGGGGTAAAAGCAGGTGGCAGGCTCCAGTCTCCTGCCCTTCTGGGGCCAGGAGAGGCCACCCCTCCCACCCTCATCAGAGCACAGGACCTGACAGAGGTCACAGAGCACCAGATGCTGGCTGGGGGGTGGGGAGGTGTCTTCTCCTGAAGCCCCTGGAGGCCTGGGCCACTCTAGTGGGCTCCCAGCCTCCCCACCCCATCTGGGTGACGCAGGCTGCTGCAGCTCAGCTTGAGTCAAGGCCCGCCTCTCCCTCCCCTCACTATTTTTAAACTTAATTTCCTCGAAAACGGGGCAGCTTATTCGGGAGATAATTGCTCACATGGCAGGCTGGGCGGAGCTCCTCCACACAGCGCTGTCCTTGCAGGCACTGGCCTGCTTTGCCCCCTTGTTCCCTCCCTCTTTCTGTCTGCTGCTCTTGGCCTCCAGGTCCCCTGGATGTAATGGTCCTGCCTTAGGTGGCCACTGCCTGCGGACCTTGGCCGCCACCTGGCCAGGCCTGTGTTGGGATGGCCCAGGGCTTCTTTCTTCCTCCCAGTGCTAGGAAGGAAACCCAAGGCCTTCACGCCGGGCTGCGCCCCCAGTCCTTTTTATTTTTCATTTTGAGAAGGGAGTCTCTCTAGGTTGGCCCTCCTGGGCTCGAACGTGTCATCCTCCTGCCCCAGAGCACTGGGGTGATAGGCAGACACCACCATACCTTATTTTTAGCCCTTGCAGGTGAACTGGGTAGGGAGGGAAGCTGAGGCAGGGGTCTGGTGAGACCCCGTCCAGAGGTCTCAGTTTGGTTCTGGGGTGGGACCTGGCCAGGGCTCGTCATCGGATCCCCTAGTGCAGGGACAGGAACTGTCCTGTGTACCATGCCTACAGGGGACCCTTGGTGTGGTGGAGAGAGGGCCACTTCCCCATGAGGAGGGAAGACAGAGCCTTTGGGATTGTCTGCAGGTGTGGGGGCCCCACCCCAGGTCTGTGAGACTCTGCTTGCTGTGTCATCTCAATGTTGTTCTGTCATGAGCCTGCTACCTAGCACCTCCTGCCCTTTCCCTGTCCTGGTGCCCAGGCTGCCAACCCTGAATTGTTCGATGTTTGGAGGCCAAAGCAAATACTGTGTCATCTATGAGCACCTTCCACTGCCCACTGGCTGTGGCCCAGGCCCTGAGAAAAGCGAGGCCACCAGGGCTGCTGAGGTAGATGACCACGGCTTGGGAGCTCCAGGGAGCGGAAGTTCTCCCTCCCATGCTGAAAGCCAGAAGCTTGAGGTTATTGTGAGCCTGTCATTCCAGATATGCAGGAGACTGAGGCAGGAGATCACAAGTTCAAGACCAGCCCAGGCAACTTAGTAAGACCCTGTCTCGACATCAGAACCTAGGAGATCAGAGGTGTGACTTAATGGGAAGGCGCAGGGCTCATGCCCCGGTAACAAAGAGGAAAAAGTAAGGAATAAAGATGTAAGAGGTGTGGCCAGGTGGCCCTGCGGAGAAGCCACCGGGCCCTCCCTGGCTTCTGGTGGCCTCTGGCCTCTTCTGTGTCCCTTGGCTTGTGGGAGTGCTGCTGTGTCTGCCTCCTGGCCTTGATGCCTCCCCTGTGTGTGTCTCATTGCTATCACTGGGGCGTCGGTTGGGCTGGATCAGGTGCCTGCAGAGACCCCATTTCCAAATAAGGCCCCAGTGCGGAGCTCCAAAAAGGCAAGCTTGCAGAAGGCGGGTAATGAGTGTGGTGGTGCTGTGCCATGCGGCCCGAGTGTCATTCCAGTGGCATCTCAGACTAGAACCTGTCACCCCTAGGCTGGCATCTGTCCCCCTCATTTTGAGACAAGGTCCCCCTAAATTGCCCCTACTGGGCTTTAACTTATCCTCCTGCCTCAGCCTGTCAGAGTGCTGGGATTTGGGGTCTGCAGTGACTCACCTGGCTATGTTCTGTGTCTTTTTTTTTTTTTTTCCAGAATCGGGGATTAAACTCAGGCCCTTGCGCTTGGCAGGCAAGCGCTTAATTTTACTGAACCATCTCCCCAGCCCCTGTTCTATCTTTAACCCAGAGGAGTCTCCTTGCCACCTGGGGGTACCCTGGCTGGTACCCTAAGTGTCCTCACCAGTGGGAACTGCCTCCCTCCTGCCGGTCTCTGTGGCTCCTTGCGGCCACTGCCATGCTGAGCCATGCCCCTGGTCCCCAGACTCACTCTGGAGCCTGTCCCTCCCTAACACCCATGGTGTCTGGGTCAGAGCTGGGCGGCAGCTGAGGGGCGCCCAGCCCCCAATGTGACAAGCTGGTCAGGTGAATACCAAGACCCCAAGGAGCATCAGGGACACATCGTGCCTGTCTCTGGCTTCATCCCAGCCCTGTGACTGGCCAGGTCCCCTCTCCTCCCTGGCCCACAGGCTCCTTACCTGTAAAGGGAGAATAGAATGAGAAGACAAGGGCCAGCGGTATAGCTCAGCAAACTACGCCCTTGCTTTGGTAAGCACAGGGGCCAGGGTTCAATCCCTGGCTCTGCACGCTGTGCTGGCCCCACCTCCGGGTGTGCTGAGCCGGCGATGGAGTCTGGGCACGGTGGCACGTGCTTGTAATCCCAGCACTTTCGGAGGCAGAAATCAGGAGGATCAGTACTAATGTGGGCTATGTAGTGAGACCTTGCACACACACAAAAAAAGAATAAGACAGTTGGGAACCAGGCTTGAGCAAGGGCTGCCCTGGGTTGTTAAAGGATGGGAAGCCCAGCGTGCATGTTATTCCTGCACTCCGGAGGCTGAGGTGGAGGATATCAACTTCTGGCCCATCCTGAGTGTGTGTAGTGCCCGCTCTGCTCCCAGCCTGCAGGAGCCCCCTTCCCGCCCTTCCTCATGGCACAGTCACTGGGGCAGCTCCTCTGTGGCTGGGCCCTTGTGATCCAGGGTGAGCTCCCAGGGTCTCATCACAGCCTCAGCGCTGTGGGGATGGGGGGTATCTTTGGGGACACACAGCTTCCTGCCCACACGTTTCCCACCTGGGCCTCTTTGCAAGGGGAGCAGGGACCTGGCTGGGTGACCTCATGGTGCTGGTGCCTGGTAGGCAGGGACATGGGGACAGAGCTGGACAAGGTCTGGGAGCTCCCCTCAGCCTTCTGTGCCTGCTCCTGTTGCTCCCAGGCTGCTGGAGAATGCTGGGCCCAGCCGGGTCCCACTGACCACACCCTCCAGGGCCTTGGCCCCTGGCGGCAGGCAGGGCTGTGCTCAGTGCCTTCCCTTCCTCCGCAGAGTTCCTGGGCTTGTGAGGGAGGGGTCAGGCTGGGACCGCACAGAGCTCCTGATGCCCTAGCCCCACCTGGCTGTTTGTCCCCCAGACTGTGTGTCCCTGGTCTGTGGCGCCCCACCTGCCCAGGCCCCCCAACCTCAGCATGGGGCCGCCCTAGGCCAGGTGGCCACACCCATAGGAGGCTCCTCCCAGTCCCAGCCCCAGCCCTGGGCTTGTGTCTGTGCTCCTGACCTGGACATGGGGCCTACGTGGTGGCTGTTACCTGGTTCTCCTGATGTTTTTCAGGGGTCCCTGGCCCCCAGCAAGGGCGCAGACCATTGTGTGAGTGGGGGAGGGTCAGGCAGGGTCCCTGGCAACGGGGACAGCCAGGTGGCCCGCAAGATCGTCCTTGGGCTGAAATCTCTCCTCCTGTCCTCCCCAGGCCTGGCTCAGAAGAAGGCGACCCTGGCCGAGGTGAGTCCTGGGAACGGACTGATGGGTTAGGGTCCCCACAGAAAGCAGGGGAGGCCACCCTTGGAAGAGGACGGGGAGGAAGATTCGCCTTGGAGGGTCAGCAGGCAACATGGTCCTGGTGGCCTTGGAGTTATGGCAGCTTGGGGTGGTGGGGGGAGGGGTGTGCAAGGGTGCCAGGACTGGAACCTGGGGGCTGCCAGCCTGGGTGAGGTGAGCCCTGTGTCCCGTTCCCCAGCTCCCAGGCACAGGCAGGGGTGGAGGGGGCCATCCTGCCCCCAGCAGGAGTTGGTGTGTCCTTGGTGCCCCCCCAGCCCACACCTGTCCCACAGATGCCTCCTGCCCACGCCTCCTTCTGAGTACTCCGTGTCTACACCAAGGCCCTGGCCACCCAGTGTGGTGGGAGCCCGCAGGCAGGGGTGTGGGGACGCAGAGCCTCTTGTCCTGGACTGAGCCTGCCCCCTGGTGGCTGCAGGGAAGGATGCGCTGGAGCCTATAAAGAAGCTGCTGCTGGGGACAGGGTTGGGGGGATTCTGGGGCTGAGGCCAAGACGGTGGTGTGCATAGACCTGGGGGAGGCCTGGGGCTCCTGAGTGTCGCAGGGCAGGCAGTACCACAGCAGAGCCCGGGGACCCAGCCCTGTCTGCGGACCCAGCCTCTTGTGCTGTGGGCTGCCCTACCTGACGGCTACATCCCTGTCTTGACCTTGAAAGGGTGTGAGAGGGAGCCTCAGTGTAGTCACCCTGAGGGGCCTGTGGCTCACGTCCACCAGCTGTGACACCCCTGCCCCAGCCATTGGACACCCTCCGAGAGGCACCTGGGCCTGCAGGGCCTCACTCTGGTCCCACCTCCTAGTGTCCTCAGACATCTGTGCTCATCACCCTGGGGGTTCCTGGCATGGAGCGGGCAGAGGCCAGGGATGCTGCAGTGCCTGGAGCGGGCAGAGGCCAGGGATGCTGCAGCAGACCTTGGCCCTGGCCTCCCAGGAACCTGAGGAAGCATGTCCATCCCACCTTGGTGGCAGCCAGGGTGGGCCCCAAGGGGGGGTCCTGACCACCCCCTCCTGGGGTTTTGCCTCCTGGTTCTGGAGCTTCTGGTCACCAACTTCATGCCACCTGCTTCCTTGTCCCCAGGCCCCATCTATGACCGGACAGCCTGGCCCAGGCCATGGGAAGAAGCTGGGGCACCGAGGCGTGGATGCATCTGGCGAGACCACCTATAAGAAGGTCCCTGTGTGTTCGGACATCCGGGAGGGTGGGAGAGGAGTTCCCAGGGGACCTACAGGCCACATGTGTCCCCACCAGGCACCTGAGACTGTGTAGAGGCAGGTGCTCTTGGGGACCTCCAGCCTGGCCCACGACCACTGTCCCTAGCCTAGCCTGGGGTGCACTTTGCAAACAGTCACACTCCTGTCATCCCAGTACTCTGGGAGGCTGAGGCAGGAGGGTTGCAAGTTCAAGCCCAGCCTGGGCAACTGAGCAACTTAGTAAGACTCTGTTTTCCATGGCAAAATAAGAATAAAAAAGACTGGGGATACAGTGTGGTACACTGTTGTGGGTTCCATGCCCAGTACTGCAAGAAAAATACTAGCTTTGCTGAAGGCGAAGAGAACAGTGTGGCCCCTTCCTGGCTGGTCCAGGCAGAGCAGGTCCCAAAGCAGTCATGCCCTGGGCCACAGAAGTCTGGTGGGCCGGATGGTAGGGGTGCAGCTGGAGCCAAACCCTCTCCTGGCACACATGGGGCCAGGCCTAACATCCCCGCCTGTCCCCATGTGTCCTGCAGACCACATCCTCCACCCTGAAGGGCGCCATCCAGCTGGGCATCGGCTACACTGTGGGCAACCTGAGCTCCAAGCCGGAGCGCGATGTCCTCATGCAGGACTTCTACGTGGTGGAAAGCATCTTCTTCCCCAGGTAGGCCCGGCTCCTGCGGGGCAGGGGGGCTCCCAGCTTGGGGCGGCTCCCTGCATTCTGATTGCCTTTTTTCACTGAAAGTGACAGTTGAGATAGACCCAACATAAAAGCAGCGTTTTAACAACAGGAAAAAGAAGAGGCGGCAGTTCAGTATTGTTTCACATAAAAATATCTACCGGTAGCCCAGGGCCAGTCAGGTGGCCCTCAGGTAGGGGTCACACTCTCTTCTGGTTCTTCTGCTGTCTCTGGCATGCAGCTTCTATCACCAGAGGTTCTGGCTGGCTGAGCTCCTGCCATCACAACTGCATTCCAGGGCCGGGGAGATGGCTCAGTAGAATAAGCACTTGTTTTTTTTTTTTAATTTTATTTATTTATGTGTGTGTGTGTGTGTGTGTGTGTGTGTGTGGCCAGCTCAGCCCACCAGGGGGCAGGGCTGGCTGGCATGTGGTGCTGGGGGATTGAACCGCGGTCCCTGTGCTTTGCTGAGCTTGTTCTAAGTAGGTGCTTTAGACCACTGAGCCATCTCACCAGCCCCTAAGCACTTGTATGGTAAGCGCAAGGACATGAGTTCAATCCCCAGTTCTGCAAAAACAAACAAAAAAAACCAACTGCATTCCATGGACTGGCCAAATAGCTCAGTGGATTAAAGCACCTGCAAGCAGGTGCAGGGGCCAGGTTTGATCCTACACTGAGACAGCAAATGAGACTGCGCATGATGGCACGTGCCTGTAATCCCAGTTCTTGGGAGGCTGTAAACAGGTGGATCACTACGAGTCCGATCTAGTAGTGAGACCCTGAACACCCTGTACACCCTTCCCTAAAATACAAAAAAAGAAAGGAAAAAAAACTGCATTCCAGTGGCAGAAAAGAAAAGGAGGACAAAGGCCCAACCTAGAAGTGACACACATTGTTTCTGTCTGCTAATGTCTCTGGGGCAGAATGCTATCACATGACTATACCTGGCTGGGAGAGAAGCTGGGAGTCCATGTTCCAGCAAGAGCCCCAAGTTAGTTGTGGGATTGGGCTGGGTGGGGAGAGGTGTCCAGAAAGCCACTGTACCTCACCGTCCCTCCCACTGCGTCCTCTTCCACAGTGAAGGCAGCAACCTCACCCCCGCCCACCACTTCCAGGATTTTCGGTTCAAGACCTATGCACCAGTCGCCTTTCGCTACTTCCGGGAGCTCTTTGGGATCCGGCCAGACGATTACCTGGTGAGTGGGGGTCATCTGCAGCCTGGTGGAAGATGGTACTGTGTGCTTGCACCGTTAGTTGCAGCTCCTCCGTTGCCGTCGACGGCTGTCCGTCACCCCATCCAGGGGCTCTGTGGGCAAAAAGACCTCGTGGCCTTTTGTAACCTATTGGCCATCTTGGTTGTCCCATCTCTTGGGACATCTCTCTCATTAAGATAGTTTCAAGGGCATGGTGGTACACTCCTGTCACCCTAGCACTCAGGAAGCTGAGGCAGGAGGAAACTTCAGGTTTAGCTACTTAGCAAAATGCTATCTCAGAATTCAAAATAAAAGGGATAGGGATGGGGCCGGGGAGATAGCTCAGTAGAATAAGCACTTGCCTGGCAAACACAAGGGCCTGAGTTCAATCCCCTGTTCCGAAAAAAAAAAAAAAAAAAGGGATAGGGATATAGCATGGTGCAAAGTCACTTGGCAAAAAAAGCTTGGCATGGTGGGGTATGCCGTAATCCCAGCACTCAAAGCTGAGGCAGGAGGATCCTGTAGGTTGGAGGCAGCCGGGGCCATGTGGAAAGGCTCCACCTGAGAGCACACCTGCACCCACAAAAGAGGAGGGCTTATTTTAGCCTGTGGTTTACTCCACAGTGGGTTGGGCTTTTGCCTGGGCCTGTGGCCACCCCTGCACATTGGGGCTGGAGTGGCCAATGGAGCAGAATCACTCACCTCCTGCCCCCTCCAGAGCGGAGAGCCCAGGTCCCCATGTCCTTGCAAGCTCACCCCCAATCCTGACTTCCGCCCACTGGGTCCCCTCTCAGTGGAGTGGGGCTCGGGACTGCACCGACCACACGCAGAGAGGTCTGCAGAGTGGGGCAGGCCGGCTCCCGTGGTGCCACTGTGCCTTGTGTGCTCAGCAGGCCTGTGTCCGGGCTCATACTCATCTCTGGGTCTCCCTTGTCCTCTTCAGCTGTAGGTGATGGCTGACTCCAGGGGGCTTCAGGGGGCTCAGTCCCAATCCTGACCGAGGCACCTGTCTCCGGTTGCCGTGCCCCCTCCTGTACCAGCTGTGGCTTTCTCTCCCTTGTCCCAAGCCGGGCAGTGCAGGGAGCACATACCAGTGTGTGATGCCTTGTTCAGGGCACAGAGGCCCCAGGTCTCCCAGTCCAGGCTGTTGGTGTGGAACTCCCTGGCATTGTTTCTTTCTTTTTTTTTTTTTTAATTAAAAATTTTTTTTATTTATTTGGTACAGTCTCACTATACAGCTTGGACTTATAGTGATCCTCCTGTCTCAGCCTCCCCAGCCCTGGGATTATAGGCGTGTGGCACTATACCTGGGGTTCTGGGGCTGGCACGGTATGTGGTACCAAGGATGGAACCTGGGTCCTTGCGTTTACCAGGCAAATGCTTAGACTGCTGAGCTATCTCCCCAGCCTTCCCTGACTTGGGTGTTTTTTTTTTTTTTTTTTTTTTTTTTTTTGCGGAACCAGGGATTGAACTCAGGCCCTTGTGCTTGCTAGGGAAGCATTTATTCCACTGAGCCATCTCCCCGGACCCCTCCCTGGAATTGTTGATGGCAGTAGAGCCCACAGCTGAGGAGCAAATGGGGAGATGGGGGACATGCTGAAGGCAGGCCCTGGTTCCCCAGGAATTGAGGGACAGGGTCCCATCTGGGCAGTGTCCCTCCCTGAGTCTGTTGGTGGCAGCGGGCCTAGGGTTGGGCCTCTCGTATCCCGTGGATATTTGTGGCTCATGGCAGTGGGCGGAGAAAGGATAGGCAGATGGCAGAGCCTGGTGTAGCTGAAGCTTGGCCGCGTCTCCCTCAGCCCGCAGCATCCTCCCCCAGCGAGTAGGGGAGGTCGGCAGTGGATGCAGAGGGGGGGATGTAAATGTCAGTAGGAGAGAAACGGGGTCAGAGGAGACCAGAGTGAGGGCCAGGGCCAGCGTGCGGGGTTGGGGGGCCAGGAGCCACACTTCCGAGATGAAGCCTCCTCCCGTCTCCTTGCTGTCACTGGAATGTGTCTTTCATTCCAACAGTCACCTCATGGCCCAGCTTGGCTACTGGGATTCTAGTATTGTGTCATCGTTCCAGGTGGGAAATAGGAAAGGAAAAAAGGGCACAGAGACAGGTGCCCCCACTGTCACCTGCGTAGGGCGCTGACCCAAGGCGCAGTGCCTCAGCTTCTGCTCATGCGCCATGGGCGGAGCTGCTGCTGTGGCCACACCAACTGCAACAGAGGGTGCAGACATAGCTCAGCCAAGCCTTGGCACCCTGTGTGACGAGCCCTTTGTGACCAACTACAGAAGTGGGCCCTGGGGCCTGCGTCCCTGTAGATGCAGCCTGGGGCCCCGAGGGAGTCAGCCAGGGTTCTGGTCCTTGCTGAGGCCTGTCCCAGCCCCTCTCCAAGCTTCCGTGGATTTGTTTGTAAGACGGAATGGGGCTTGGTGGTGGGCAAGAAAGGCCTGGGACAGCCGGGCAGAGCCATGCCGCTGACCCCTCCTCTGCCTTTCAGTACTCTTTGTGCAATGAGCCGCTCATCGAGCTCTCGAACCCGGGCGCCAGCGGCTCCCTCTTCTATGTCACCAGTGACGACGAGTTCATCATCAAGACCGTCATGCACAAAGAGGCCGAGTTCCTGCAGAAGCTGCTGCCTGGCTACTACATGGTGCGTGGCCCTGGCTGCACGCCATGTGCGGTCCCTGCCCTCACAGCCAGCAGGTGTCTCATGGCCCAGGCAAGCTGGGTCCTTGGCGACCCTCTCCAGACATAGTCAAGGTGGCTATGGCTCCTGCCTGGTCCCCTGTAACCCTCTTGTCTTGAGTCCTGAAAATCTCACTTTTACCAGTCAGCCATGCGGTGACTCAGGAACATGGTGGGGAGGGGATGGCATCAGCTGATGCCTTTTGGAAAGAACAGCTGCTGGCCAGGCCTGGTGGCGCATGCCTGTAATCCCAGCATGTGGGAGGCTGAGGCAAGAGGATCATTGAGAGTTGAGACCAGCCTGGGCTACAAAGTGAGCTCAAGGCCAGCCTGAACTGCATAGCGAGACTCTGTCTCAAAAAGACCAGCCGCTGAGGCAGGAGTGGCTTCATCTGCCTCCCAGTACTGTCTCACGGTGGAGGGCGCATCAGCCCCTGGGGGACATTAGGTGTGGGCGCCTTGCCAGGGACATCGCCCATTCTACTAAGTCCAGGTACCAGATGTACAGTCCCCTTGGGCCATCTGGTATAGAGTGTGACTCAGTTTCCCCTTTAGGATGTCCAGGGCAAAACCCTAGGGCTCCCTAGATAAGGAGTCAGCAGGGCTGGGCACCGCTGTCATCCCCAGAGCTCTGGGAGGCTGAGGCAGGAGGGTGAAAACTGGAGCAACTTAGATCTAACTCCAAATAAAAAAAGGCTGAGGAGACAGCTCAGCGTGAAGGCCTTGGGTTCAATCCCTGACGCTGCAAAAGGATTTAAACAAGAAAAGTCTGCATGGTCCATGTTTTGTCCTTGGGAGCCTGGCCCATGGTCAGAACCTGATCTCACGGGTACCGTGGGTGTCATGCCAGGGATGAGCAGGGCAGCAGCAGTGGGGCTTCCAGCGCCCAGGGAACGGCACGGGTCCCTACCAGGCTCCCTGCTGACAGCCCGGCTGCCCCATTGCCCACAGAACCTGAACCAGAACCCACGCACGCTGCTGCCCAAGTTCTACGGGCTGTACTGTGTGCAGTCGGGCGGCAAGAACATCCGTGTGGTGGTCATGAACAACGTGCTCCCGCGCGTTGTCAAGATGCACCTCAAGTTCGACCTCAAGGGCTCCACATACAAGCGGCGTGCCAGCCGCAAGGAGAAGGAGAAGAGCCTGCCCACCTACAAGGACCTGGACTTCATGCAGGACATGCCCGAGGGGCTGCTGCTTGATGCCGACACCTTCGGTGCCCTGGTCAAGACGCTGCAGCGCGACTGCCTGGTGAGGTCCGCGGCCGCCCCCCACCCCCACCCGTCCGCTCCCTGCCAGGGTCCATCCCTGTGGCACTCCTGGACCAGGACTCCCCAGCTGGCTGGGCGGGCTCTCTGGGCCTCAGTCTTCTCACCCGTCCAATGGCATCGGCCTCTGCCTCCCCCATGTGAGTGTCCGTTCCCAGCAGGCCCTGGGCAGGTGTAGCTAAGGAGAAGCAGACCAGGCCCAGTAGTTCACGCCTGTCACCCCAGCGCTCGGGGGCAGGGGCAGGAGGATCTCGACTCTCAGCCTGGGCAGCTGAGTGTCTTAACGAGACCCTGTTTTAGAAAAAGGAAAAGGGCTGGGGCTTGAGCTCAGCATGAAGTCCCGAAAATTGATTCCAGGTGCCAGATTTTAGGGCCGATGTCCCAGCCTGGCTACCCACTGAGTGACCGGGGCACCATCCTCTAGGCCCTTGCGGTGGTCATAGGCAGCCCTGTGTGGCCGCAGGACAGGGTCTGTGACGCCGCATGCTGCAAGTCCCACCGCGTGCCCCTGATGGCCTCTCTGGCCCCACCAGGTGCTGGAGAGCTTCAAAATCATGGACTACAGCCTGCTGCTCGGGGTCCACAACATTGACCAGCAGGAGCGCGAGCGGCAGGCCGAGGGCGCCCAGAGCACGGCAGACGAGAAGCGGCCCGTGGGCCAGAAGGCACTCTACTCCACCGCCATGGAGTCCATCCAGGGCGGTGCTGCGCGGGGCGAGGCCATCGACACCGATGACACGTAGGTGGGGCCGGGCATAGGTGGGCCCAGAGGTGCACCCTGGTTCCTCATTTGTGAGCTGGGGAGGGACTGAGGCCTCCCTACGTGGGCTGTCATGCAGAGGATGCAGGCGCTGGAGGGCCTTGGCATGCAGGGTGGTGCCTTCAGGCTCTGTCTCTGTGTGGATCGAGGCCACAGCCATCTGTGTGGACAAGACGCCCCTTCTGCCCAGGGTGACCAGGGTCCTGCATGAATAACCATGAGGGCATCACATGGTGCCAAGTGGCAGAGGTGACCAAGACGGTGGACAAGGCAGACCTTTTATAATAGAGACTAGCAGATCTGTGTCACCAAGGTACAGGGCAGTTGCCTGAGCTGGGTTGCCCAGGGCCGAGTGGGAGAGACACTCACAGAGCCCTGAGGCACTGTGCCCACCGGATGGTGTGCTCTGTGGGGCATCATGGGCAGCACAGGGTACTGGGCCATGTCCCAGCCTCTGTCCACCCAGTGCCCAGAGCTCCCCCAGTGTGACAGCCTGACAAGTCCCTAGGTGTTGTCCAGATTGTCCTTGGAGGGATTACATTGACAAGTATTCCTTGACTTGTCAAGGCTGTCCCCTCGCCCTAGGAGCGCCTGGCCCCTTTGCTCTGACTGCCCCAGGAAGCCCCCTGTGGCCAGGGCCCGGGAGGGGGAGGTGACATCCCTGCATTTCCAGCTGGGGGAACAAGGGCTTCAAGGTAAAGGAAGCATGTCAGGATGCAAAGCCAGCTGGGCACAGACTCAGAGGTATCCTCCCAGCTCCCAAAGTGCCGAGGGGGACCCACCTGGGGACCTGACCGGGGTGAGGGGCAGTGGCAAGTGCAAAGACCCAGCATAGCCACCTGCCTCAGACTGTCTTGGCGTTCATAGGGTCTGCGCAGGGCACAGAGGGGAGCAGGTGAGGTGGCGTGCCTGGTGTGGACAGAGTGTGTATGCTATGGCCTGGCCTGGAGGTCTGGAGCTGGGGTGGCTTTGGGACAGCTGCTGCTTGCGTGACATCACTAACTGCAGTGGGCCCGGTGGGTGTGGGCGAGGAGCCCAGTGGCGTGATTAACAACTGGCCTGTGCCCGAGACCTGGCAGTGCCTCCTGGGAGTGCAGGGTGTCTGTATGTGTGTGTGGTGTGTGTTCATGTATGTCTGTGTGTATGTAGGTGTGTGTGTGTATGCTTACGTAAGAGGGTTTTGAGTGACAATGATGGATGCGTGTGTGCACTTGTGAGTGCGTGTGCGTCCTTGCATGTAGGTATATGTAAGTGTGTGTGGGGTGCATGAGTGTGCGTGTGGGTGGGTCATGAGTGTGTGGGGCTGCATGAGTACATGTGTGCGTGTGGGTGGGTGCATGTATCTGCACATGTGCATGCTGGCATGTGTGTGTACATGTGGGTGTGTGCACATGTAGACGTGTGTGTGCAGATCTTTATGGGTCCATGTAGATTGCGTGCACATGAATTGTGGGCGTGTGTGTATGTACAAGTGCACACTGCAGTTTAGTGGCAGGGTCCCCTCAGCAGCACGCAGCCTCCAGTTCTGAGCCTGAGTGAAGCTCTCCTTCCAGTAGGGCCAGATGCAGGGTCTTGGGCGGGGGCCTCACTGCAGCTGCCACCCTGGGGCAAGGTGGCCTCTGGGGTCCAGGTACCCTAGCCCTGCCATGCTGAGGCCTCTCTCCACAGGATGGGCGGGATCCCGGCCGTGAATGGGCGCGGGGAGCGGCTGCTGCTACACATAGGCATCATCGACATCCTGCAGTCCTACAGGTGCGTCTGCGTGTGGGCCGCCACACTCTGCTGCGTTCCTGGTGCGCTTGCCCCGTGTGCACAATCAGGCTTTGTGCACCTCTGCCGCCCTAGGCTGCTTGGGAAGCACCTGGCACGGCCACTCACCTGCAGGCCCTTCTCTTTGCAGGTTCATCAAGAAGCTTGAGCACACCTGGAAAGCCCTTGTCCACGATGGGGTGCGTGTTCTCTCTCCTCTTTCTCTGTATCAGTCCCCACAGGCATGGCTGGTACCTTTGGAAGCACAGCACTTCCTAGACACAGCCCCCTAGCAGGCCCAGGCCAGCACCAGTCCAGACTACCATGTCGGGACACAGGCAGCTGAGAGCCCTACAGGGGACCCTGCCTGTGGGGGGACCCCACACTATGTTGCAGGATGCCTCAGGACAGCCGGAGCTGAGTCAGGCCATCCTAGAAATGCCCATTGTGCATGGAATGTCCTGGCCAGCCCTGCAGAGACACCTTGAGTCTTCACAGAAGGGTCCTATTGGGTGTTGGGGGCCCTTCTGCAGCACCTTCAGACTGATTCATACTAAAGTGCTGAAGATTGCCTGTGTTGCCATAGTTACAGAATCCAAGGTCCAACAAGGAGGACCCTACCCTCTAGAAGATCTAGGTAGAAGCTTCTAGAATATGCATCAAAAGGCCTAAATGATTCTAGCACTCTGGAAGGCTGAGGCAGGGAGATCACAGGTTCAGACCCCACCTGGACAACTTAAGGCCCTGTCTCAAAAAAGAAAAAAATCCCACAGACAAGATGGCAGAAGGCATGTGGAAGTGCCATTAAGGATAGAGCCGCCCAGCAGCTTAGGCCGTCCAGCCCTGTGCAGCGAGCCAGAGCTGTCCTGCTGTCACTCCACACCTCCGGGCTGTCCTTGTCAGGGCCTTCTTCACTCCTGAGGCTCAGGTTGTCCTGACCTGAGAAGCCGTGCATATCTTGGAAAAGAGTAGAATGTCCTGCTTTCGAAGTCCAGCCTTTCTTAAAAATCTCCTGTGCCAGGCTCTCTACCCTATGTAAATCTGTTTGTTGTGCTTGAGTCATGGCCCGGTGAGTGCTTGGATGTCCTGAGTCCTGGAACACCTGCCAGACTTCTCCATTCCCCCCTCTCAGCTCTGCCTTTGGGCATCAGAACAGCTGGACACAAATGTACTGGAAGGGGTGTGGCCACCTGCCAGCAAAACTTTATTTGCAGAGTATACTTCAGGCCAGACTTTGCTGATCTCTGATTTAAAAGACTGTTGTAGGTTCCCTGAATACTTGCTGATTCACATAGTTCAAAAAGTTAAAATACGATAGCTAAGCGGATTAAAGTGCCTGCAGGCAGGCTCAGGGGCCGAGGATTTAATCCCCAGGCCTGCCATGCTGGCCCCGCCCCTGGGGCTCACTGGGATGGCAGTGGAGACTGGGCGTGGTGGCGGGCGCCTGTAATCCCAGCTCTTGGGAGGCTGTAAACAGGCAGATCACTATGAGTCCAATCTTGTAGTGAGACCCTGAACACCCTGCAGGCCCTTCCCTAAAAAAATACAAAAACAAAAATTTAAAATGCAGCCAAGAGTAGCACCCTGGGAGGCTGAGGCAGGAGTTTTACAGGCTCAAACCCAGCCAGGGCAACTTAGCAACTTAGTGAGACTGGGAAGGCGCTCAGTGCAAAGCCTTTTAGTCCCAGTACCAGAAAAGGAGTAAAAAAAAAAACATGGGTTCATAGTGAAAAGATTAAAAAAAAAAAAAAGATCCCCAAGCTTCCAACTCAGCATGTGCTGGCAGCCACCTCCCTGTCCCCAGCAGCTAACCACCTTCTGTCCCTGTGCCCCCTACTTCTCCTGCAGGACACAGTCTCTGTCCACCGCCCCAGCTTCTATGCTGAACGCTTTTTCAAGTTCATGAGCAACACGGTCTTCCGGAAGAACTCCTGTGAGTTTTCAGAGCCCCTGGTGTGGGAGGCACTGGGGCAAGGAGAGGGGAGGGCAGGGCAGACGGGGGAGGGGGGCAGGAAACCAGAGCCCCTTGGTCCTGCTGCAGGCAGGGTGTCCCTCGGAGCACTGGCGAGAGGGTGCTTCCCTTTTGGCAGCTGTCACCTGGGGACTGAACCTGAGCTCTCAACTGCTACAGCTGAGGCTGCCAGGTCCAGAGAGGCTGGGTCACTTTTCTGATTGCATAGCCGACAGGGCAGGGCTCTGAGCCTATGCAGCGCACCAAACACCCCTCCTTCCTCACAGCTCTGAAGTCCTCGCCGTCCAAGAAGGGGCGCAGTGCCCTACTGGCTGTCAAGCCCCTGGGGCCCACAGCAGCCTTTTCGGCCAGCCAGATTCCCAGTGAGCGTGAGGATGCACAATATGACCTGCGGGGAGCCCGCAGCTACCCCACGCTAGAGGATGAAGGTGACTAGCCAGCCACAGTGAGACTCACAACCCACAGCCACCCCACCCTGGGGGCTTGCAGATGGCAGCGGCGAGCTGCAGGGAAAGCTGGGCGGGACAGCGAGCACAGCCTGCGCAGGAGGGTTACTGTGAGTTTAAGGCTAGCCTGGGCTACAAAGTGAGTTCAAGGTCAGCCTGACCCACGCAGTGAAACCCTGTCTCAGAAAAACACAATGGGGCCAGGGAACTAGTTCAGTGGAATAAGTGCTTGCCTGGCAGGGGCAAGGTCCTGAGTTTGGTCTCTGGTACCATGCGTAAAACAAAAAAACACAAGAAGGTAAAGCCCTTGGGAGGGCATGTGGGACAGGAGGTGGCAGCTCTGTGAGGTGCTGTGGCCTCTCCACGCAGGGCGGCCTGACCTTCTGCCCTGCACTCCACCTTCTTTTGAAGAAGCCACCACCGCCTCCATAGCCACGACCCTGTCGTCCACCTCCCTCTCCATCCCAGAGCGGTCCCCTTCAGAGACCTCGGAGCAGCCCCGGTACAGGTGGGTGTGGGGGGCGGGGCCTCCAAGCAGGTAGGAGGCTGGGCCTTGGGCCGTAGTCATTCCTGGCTCCCATTTGCCCTCTCTCTCTACAGGCGCCGCACACAGTCGTCTGGACAGGACGGCCGGTGAGACCGTAATTCAGTCCCCTTACCCTCTGGTGTGGCCCGGCAGGGTGAGCCAGCATGTCCTGCCTGCCTGCCAGGACCTGCTGACCCTCCTTTACGAGAGCACTGGGTCATGACCCAGTGGAATAGGTGTCTGGCCCTGCGGCCTGATGTGGACATGGGACTCAGAGTTCCATGCTGCCCCTGGGGAGGAGGGGGAGGGAAACTGAGGCATGGCTTGGTTGCCTGCAGGCCCCAGGAGGAGCCACACGCAGAAGAGGACCTGCAGCAGATTACTGTGCAGGTGGAGCCCACGTGCAGCGTGGAGATCGTGGTCCCCAAGGAGGAAGATGCGGGGTAAGTGCAGGCTCCCGTGGTCACTTGCCAGCCAGGAGAGCGCTGGTTTGCTTCTTTCCTCTTTTGATCTAAGGCAGTAGTTTTCACACTCGGGTGTCCATGCTCTCAGGGGACGCCAGGTGACATCTGGAGATGTTTTGGTGGTCATGTTAGGGGAGTCCTGGCCTGGAGCTGGGGTGGATGCCGGCCGCTGCTCAGCACCTGCAGTGCCCAGGGCACCCACAGAGCACAGCCTGGCTTCAGGGCCCACAGTCCTGAGGGGGCAGACCCTGGGCCATAGGTTCTCCAGAAGTCTTGGGTCTACCAATTTAAGCATTTTTTTAAATTAGATTTTATAGTGTATGTAAGCATTTGTTTTGTGTTAATGAGCTCTGATATGAAGGAAACTGAAACAGACCCATATTTTGCTTTTAGTTTGATTCTTGCATGGTGCCATGGTGCACACCTGTAATTCCAACCTTTGGGAGGTCGAGGCAGGAGGATTGCAAGTCTGAGGCCAGGCTGGCAGTTTAGTGAGATCTTTTCTCAAAAAACAAATACCAGGGCAGGGAAATATCTCAGTGGCATAAGTGCCTGCCTGGCAAGCTCAAGGTCCTGAGTTCAATCCCCAGTACCAAAAAAGTAAAAAAAAAAAAAAAAAATCCAATCACTGAGCTGTACCTCTGCGAGCTCAGAAGCCCTCGCCTACTATTTCTGAGGTCTACACCCATCCTCTGTACTGGAAAACCCCACCACAATGCTATGCTCGAGTGTCTTGCTATGTAGATCCTGCTGGCCTCGAACTCATCCTGCTGCCTCAGTCTCATGAGTACTAGGCTTCCAGGCACCCACCACCGCACCCAGCCAGAATCCATTCTTTTAACTGTTTAGGGATTTAGGAAAAAAAAAAAAAAACGGACTGGGGCTGGTGAGATGGCTCAGTGGTCTAAAGCACCTACTTAGAACAAGTTTAGCAAAACACATGGACCGCGGTTCAATCCCCCAGCACTACATTCCAGCCAGCCCTGCCCCCTGGTGGGCTGAGCTGGCCACACATGCACACACATGCAAAAATAAATTAAAAAAAAAAAAAAAACGGACTGTTTCTCTCTACACCTGTTACACCTAGCTGCTTGGTTTTGTGTTGTTGGTTTTTTTAATCTTTTATTTATTTATTTGGTACAGGGTCTCACTGTGCAGCTTAGACTCATAGTTGACCCTCCTGTCTCAGCCTCCCCAGCGCTAGGATTACAGGCATGTGCCACCACTCCCAGTCTCAGTGGCTGGCACACCATGGGGCCAGCACAGCATAGGGTACCAGGGATCGAACCTGGGTCCTTGCTCTTGCCAGGAGGCGCATGGACAGCTAAGCTATCTCTCCAGCCCCTGCTTGGTTGTTGACTGAGTTTTTTTTCCTTACTAGTTTTTTTTTTTTGCCTGCCAAATGTTTATAATTCTTGAATTGTGCTGTTATCAATTTTTTTTTTTTTTTTTCAGAACTGGGGGAATTGAACTCAGACCCTTGTGCTTGCCAGGCAAGCGCTTATTCTACTGAGCCATCTCCCCAGCCCCTCAAATTCTTGACATTTTATTTTCAGTGCTTTGTGTGTGTGTTCAGTATTCACAATTCTCCTCACTGAGCAACGTCCCCAGCCCTTTTTATTTTCATCTTGAGACAGAGTCTGGCTGAGTCACTAGGTTGCCCATCTTGGGCTTGAACTTTGAATCCTCCTGCCTCAGCTTCCCAGAGTGCTAGGATAACAGGCACTCGCCACTGGGCCCGGCTTTGTCTAGGTCTGTTGTCTCAGTGATGGTACCATTTTGCAGTTCCTTCCAGGGCATCTCAGGTCCAGGGAGGAGAAGGGTAACAAGGTCAGGGATGGGTGGCCAGGTGTCATCCAGGACCACCCAGGATCCCACATCTGCCTGCATTCCCAGGGTGGAGGCCTGCCCAGCCGGGGCCTCTGCATCCGCTGTGGAGGCAGAAACCACCAGCCAGGCCTCGGAGCCCGCCAGCCAGGCCTCAGACGAGGAGGACGTGCCTGCCACTGACATCTACTTTGTAAGTCCCCGGGTCCCGTGGAGTCACACCACCTGCTCACACATATAACTGAGCTTATGCGCACACACACACCTGTGCCCACATACACACTTGTACTCAGGCATATACACACACCTGTGCTCACACACACCTGTGCTCACACACACCTGAGCTCACACATACCTGAGTGCATGCACACCTGAGCTCATACACACCTGAGCTCACACTCATACCTGCGTTCACACACACTTGAGCTCAGGTACACACACACACACAAAGTGAACTCTGGTCCTTGCACAGTGTAGCAGCCACCTGGCCTGCCCTGGCCTGGGCAGGCCTTCTTGGGCACTGGAACTGGCTCCATGTCCCCCCCCCCACCTTGGCACCACTGCCTGGCTGGGCCACCCTGTGTCTATCATCTCCAGCCACTCACCCCTGCCAGGTAGAGTCAGAGGCCCATGGCCTCGGTGGCCAGGAAAGGGCAAGAATTTTTTTCCATGGACTGTGCCAGGCCGGATGGGCTCCATCCCCAAGGAAGGTGAGGGACCCAGCCAGTGGCAAGAGGGGCCCTCGAGAGGGCTGTGTCAGACAGGCCAGCAAGCCCAGCTGTGATCCTGGGGCCAGCACAGTGCTGCCCACATGGGATCCGACTGTCCGGTTGGAATGGGCAGGTCCTGCGGCCTCGTCTTCTGGGGCGGCCTGGGCATCCAGCTTTGCGCCCCTTCCTTACTAACTGACCCCACCTTCTGTGAGAGCCATGCTGTCTGGCCCAGGCCCCAAGTGCACACTGGCCCCAGAGAAGGAAGGGGTTGGCTGTGGATGGCAAGGGCCAGCCCGGGCAGTGTGGCCCCAGGCCTGGTGGGCTGCAGAGCAGGTCCCCCGCGTGTCCTCCCTCCTCTGCTTCTGCTGTCGCTTGTCCCTGCCGCTCTGTTGCCCTCCGCACCTCAGCCTGTCCTCTCTTCTTCCTCTGGCCCCGCCGCCCAGTTCACCGATGGGAGGTACTGGATTTACTCCCCCCGCCATCGCCGACTGCGGGCCGTGACGCTGAGCTCCTCGGGGACTGTAAGTGACCGCAGCCGGCCCCCTGGGGAGAAGGGGCCTTGCCCACCTCTGGGCAACAGGGAGCTGCGGGTCCCCAGCCCGAGACACGGTGCCCAGCATCTCTTTCTGTCCTCAGAGGACTTTGGGGAGACACGATGGTGGTGAAATCCAGGGTTCGTCACTGAGCCCAGAGTGAAGCAGGCCTCGCTGTGTGGGGCACTGCCCTGGCCCTGCCTGTGAGCCATGGTGGGGTCACCCTGACCTCAGCCCGCCTGCCCATGTCTGTCTCAGCCCTCCACACTGGCGCTTGCGTGGGCTCTGCCCCAGCATCGCCCCAAATGCAGCTCACAGGTGGCCACAAAACTGAGCTCTCTACAAGCCCCTCAGGTCCCCCCAGATGGAAGAGCTGAGGCATCAGCACCCAGGGAGCCTGTGAGACACAGAGCTCAGACAAAATCCAGGTCCACTAGTGGGCAGAACTGCCATCTACTCAGGAGGCTGAGGCAGGAGGATCTTTAAGGCCAGACTTAGACTTTGTCTCAAAAATAAAAAGTGCTGGGGAGTGTGGCTCAGTGGTGAACATTTTTATAGGCTTGGATTTAACTCAATGCTAGTAACCATTGGTGGGGGAGGAGTTGGAGTATTTGGGTAGCGCAACAGCAAACTCCTTATGGAATAGACATTCACCTACCCAGGATACCACAAGGAAATCGGGTGGCTGTGATATTATAAATGCCTGTTATCATTTTGATCAGCCGACAAAGGGTCCAGGGAGGCTGCGTAACCTCAAGAGCTCACAGCGCGTGAAGTCAGGGCTGGGCACCAACCAGAAGCGAGTTTCTGGTCTCCAGGTGGAGCCCTCTTAGCGGCCACCCTCCTACTCCCTGACCCACCAGCAAACCTCTGGGCATCACCATGTGCCAGGCACAGTGGAGCACGCCCAGGACACAGAGACCACATCCCAGCCCTTTGATTCCCGCCTGCCTGGGCAGCAGGACATGAGCCTAGAAAGCCACAGCCTGGGGCAGCTCTGGCTGGTGGACCAGGGACTGGATTGGTTAGCAGAGGCTTGGATTTGGGATCGCTGTGGCCGGAGGTATAGCAGAGAGAAGCTGGAGCTGGGTGTGGTGGTATGTGCCACCTGGCAGGCTGAGGCAGGAGGAAGACCAGGTTGGGCACTGAGGGACTCAGCGAGGCCGACTTGAAATCAAAGCGAGAAAAAGGGTCAAGCATTAACTCAGCATGAAAGCCCTGGATTCAGTCCTCAGCGCCACTGAAAGGAAAAAACATACGGGCAAGCGAGGAGGAGGGTGCAGTGGGATGGTTGTGCCCATACTGGCCTGGGTGCAGGTGCTCATGGTCTTATACCAGTCCCATTTGGCAGCTGAGGGTCCCTTTCTGTCCTCTGCTGCTGAGGACAGGAAACAGCCACCGTGTTTCGCCTTTTCTAATGTGGCAGCAGCGTCTGATGCTCAGTTGTCCCCACCCAGGAGCAGCGCTGGCACTTCTGTGGGGACACCTTTGGGCCACATGTTTCCAAGCCCAGACTTAACTGGCTGAGCCCCAGACTGGATCCCTGGGGCACCAGGGAGACAGGCAGCTGTTCCACCTTTACCAGTCAATGTTTTCTGCTGCTCCTGGGTCTGAGGCTGAGCTCTCCTGTCACCCACAGCCTTTGCAGTGCCTGTGTGTGGCAAACCAGATGGCTCCTACAAGCTGGCAGGAGCCACAGGAGGAGATGGAACTGGTGGACTTGGGGAAGGGGTTTGTGAGACGGGGACCTTATGATGGGGGACGGTGAACCCAGGTCCCCAACCAGTCAGGGCTGGAGTCAGCTGGGATGGCACCCAGATGAGAGGGTGGGGTTTGGGGCGGCAGTTGGCCTGGAGCCAGTGGACTGCACTGTCAGGCAGGCCTGGGACGTTTTGTTGTTGCTGTGATGTTTTAGTGTCACTGGACACCTCATGACACAGCCCAGTGCTGTGTGTGTTCAGGGCTGGCACTGTCCAGTGGGACCCCAAAGGCTGGGGGTGACGAGGCCTGGGAAGAGAAAAGGTATCAAGATTGGGGCTCAGTGAAGCCCCCCAGCAGTCTGGAGGTACACTGGAGCTGGGAGCAGAGGTATCCCTGTGCCAGGCCAGGTACTCTGCAGGCACCTGATGTGGCTGGAAGGCTCCCAGTGCTCCGGGAGGAAGGCTCGGTGGATAACACCAGGACCATGGGTCGGGGCCCTGAGTGCCCAGGGCTGCCTGTGGCGGTCCCAGGACCCCATTACCCAGAGCCAGTGTGGGAGGCTGAGGCATTCAGCCCTCGGTGGGGGGGGGGGAGGAAGGGGAGGAGCCAGAACGAGTTGGGAGAAGGGAGGAAGAGGTCCAGGCTGCAGTACCCCACCCTCTCCTCTGCCTTCCCCGCGACTGCTGTCTGAGCCTTGACTAACTCTTCCCGCTGCCTGCTGCCTGTGAACCGAGGCCGCTGGGGTTGGGGCAGGCGCTGGGCCGAGGGGCCCGCCTCTTTTATTTTCTCCTGTTTCTTCCTCCTCCTACGCCTTCTCTGCCTCCGCTCACCCTCTCTTCTGCGCCCCTGCACGTGCCTGCCCGCCCGCCCGCAGCCCACCGACGACAGGAGCTGGGTGTACTCCCCGCTCCACTATAGCGCGCAGCCCCAGCCCTCCGACGGCGAGAGCGACACAGTGAGTCCCCCCTGGGGCCAGGAGGAGCCCAGACAGATTGGGAGACTGAGGCTGGGGCGGGAGGGCTGGCATCTGACTCGCTAATGTCCAGGTGGCTCTGCCATAAGTATCTCAGGCCTGTGTCGCCCGAGGCCAGGCAGCTCAGAGGCTATGGGCAGTCCTCGGGTGGGGGGCTCCGTGCCCAGGTCCCCACGCACCCTCACCATCCACTTTCCTTTTGCAGTAATTTCTATGCAGTCTCACCTGGGGCTGAGTGCCCACCATCACCTCAGCTGCTTCCAGAGGCACTGCCCACACAGCTGAGGCCCAGGGCGTGGGGACATGCCACCCTGCGGCCATCCCCGGCCAACCTCGTCCTCGTCCTGCCCCTGATGGATGCCGCAGGCCAGACCTCTCTTACCCCGAAGCTCCACAGGCGATGCAGCGACCCTGGGCCACCCGCACTGCACCCACCAGACGGCGACCTTCCTGAGCGTCCAGTCGTGTATTTATTTTGGGCCCTTATTCTTTGCACAGACAGGCATGTGGTGCTTTTTAGGGGAAAAAAGACAAAAACCAGAAAAGGAAGAGACTCCACACCACCACACTTTGGTCCTTTGCCTCCATTGCATGTGTCCTGCAGGTCGAGGCCATTCCTGCCACCTTGGGGACCTGGGCTGCAGGGTTTGGCTGCCCTGGTGAGGCTTACCTCCAGGACAGGTCTCTGGGTGCCTCTTCCTGATGTCTCACTGTCCTGTGTGTGCTGAGGCCACCTCTCCTGGAAGCAGATCCTCCGTGCTTGGCTCAGGCTTGGGGCTTCAGTGCAGGGCTCGTGTCCTCAGTAGTGGCCCTGATGGCTTGCTGTCATGCTGAGCCACCAGGAAGGACATTCCAGGCCCAGGTGTCTGTGAGCAAGAATGCCCAGGTCGTCACACTCCTGCCCCAATGCGGCTGCCCCTCTCTGCAGAGCTCAGGGCTGTGGATTTTTCTGTCCCTCCATAGCGTTGTCCTCACAGTCCTCGGACAAGTGAACCCCCTCAGGAGACGCCTCAAAGCAAGACTGGCTTTCAAGGAACTAGGCTGGGCCTTCGGGTTAGAGAGCAGGTGTTCCAGGTTGGGCACATGCTGGGCAGGCTGCCGTGGCACGTGAGGCCACTGTAGGCGAAGGCCAGCGGCCTTTCCTCTAGCTGTCCCTGCCTTCTGGTGACAGCCACACTTGTCCAGAAGGAAAGACCCAGTGGATGAGGCCCTGCCCACTCCTCGGATCTCCCCCCACACGGCCCCAGGGGAGACACTGGGTCCTGTTTGGATCTGGGGCCACGCCCCCCAGAATAATGGGGTAGGACCAGCCCATCCAGGAGTATGATTTTTTTTTTTTTAAGCCCGCTACAAGATGTCAGCCTGCTGTCCAGGCCTTTCCTGGTGTCCCTTCTGCAGTAATGTAATGGGGAATCTGCCAGTTCTTCCCTGAGCCGCCAGCAAGGAGCCCATATTCCCTCCCAGACCCTCAGCGGCCCAGTCATGGCTCCAAGAACCAATCCCAGTCGGCCCGGACAGGTTTGTCCTTACCATGTGAGGGGTGTGGTGTCCTGCAGAAGGTGGAGTCAGCATCTGTGTCCCTGAGAAGGGAGCGGCGCAGCCTCCGTAGCCACGGCACACATCGCCCGGGGCTGGCAGGGAGGAAAGACTGGCAGCAGCCCTCCTGCGTAGGTGTCCTACGTTCCTGCGTTAAGTCCCAGAGGCCCCTTTGGAGCCCCATGTTGTGTGAGCTGTATGCTTCGTTCCTTTTCAGAATACTGCAAAAAGCACGCCAAAGTGTCCCTCAGACTGACAAGGGGCCTTGCCTGCTTGTCATTTCTGGGGCAGAGGAGTGCACAGGAGAGAATTGTTTATAATGTGTGGCAACTCGGGGTCTTCCTTAGACCCTAGGAGGGAGCCCCTGGGTGTGCCCAGCCATCCCCACTCCCTGGAGATCTGTAAATACCCAAATGACCCAGCTCTCTCCTGCCTTGCCTCTCCAGTGGCTGCTCTCGAAGACCCTGGACAGTGTCCGAATCCTTGTACTGTAAAAATGGAGAGGCATTTTCTGAGACTGGCAAGGTTGAAGTTTCCATGTGGTCCCCCAGGCCATCTCAGCTGTCCTATTCACCTCCACACTGGCTCAGTGCAATACTCCCTTCCCCGCGGGGTCCATTGCCAGAGTACTGTCGCCGCAGCCCCTCGGTCCCCTCCATACACCTCCTCCAGTGGTTACAAGGCCCATCGCCCGGGCTACCCCAGTCTGTGTGGCTGAACCATTTCAAAACAAAAAACTGCAAACCTCATGTCTTAACCCTCACCAGGGGTCCCTCATCCTCAGTCCCTGTAGTCTGGTGTGTGACAATCCGGAGCATGGCTTCCTGTGGCACCGACAGCCAGGCCATGTCCTTCCAACCCAGACCTGTGGGCACCTCGGGCAGTATAGCTGCTGCTGACCCCTGGAATACCCTTCTGTTGCCCGGGCCCCGCCGCCCCACCCTGCCAAACCCCCTCTTTTTACGTTGAAGAGATCTCTAATAAATCGGGTATAAACATCAGCTTGGCTTGGTTTGCCTCCGCGGATGGGGAGTTGGGGGACTGACAGTATCCCATCGGAAAGAAGCCTTTGTACAGCTTGTAACAGGAAGATCCAGAGCCAGGCTTGGTGCCACGGCCCTGTAGTGCCAGCACTCTAGGAGGTAAGACAGGAAGAGAATTTCAAGCCCAGCCTGGAGAATTTAGAGTTTAGCAAGACTGCCTCAAAGTAAAAAGGACTGGGGTTATAGCTCATTGGGAGGCCTCCAGCTCAACCTCCTGTACCATGCCCCTCAAAAGATTCAAAGCTGGGCATGTTGGCACACCTCATGCTATTCGGGAGGCTGAAGCTGAGGCAGGAGGATTGCTCGCACCTGGGACTGCCAGGCCAGCTTGGGCAGCACTGACAAAGATTACAAACACCTGAGTAGAACAGCCACGGCTGTCCGCAGGTTCTAGTTCAACAAACATTTCAAAGCCTCTGGTAGCCATGCAGCCCAAAGAAACCGCGTGCAAGTGTCAGCCACCAAACCCAGGCCAGGTCTGTCTTTCCCAGTGAGCACTCCATTTAACAGCTTGTCCCCAGCTGCTGCTTGTCACTGCTGCTCCATCCTAGCTCCACACACCTCACTGCAGGGCAAGAGGGGGTGATGAATCATTTGTCCTGTCTTGGATGGGTTGAGAGCTGGCCAGATAGCTCAGGGGACTAAAACGCTGCTTAGGCAGAGTGCGGGGGCGGGGTTCCGATCCCCAGCACCACAAGCCATGCCAGCCCTGCCCGGGGGGTATGCTGAGATGGCGTGGTGGCCGCCTGTAATCCCTGCGCTTGGGAGGTCTTAAACAGGAGGATCACTATGAGTCCCATCTACATGGTGAGACCTTGTAAACCCTGTACTACATACATTTTTTAAAAAGAGGCCGGGCCGGGGAGTTAGCTCAGTGGAATAAGTGCTTCCCTGGTAAGCGCAAGGGCCTGAGTTCAATCCCCGGCCCCCCCCCCAAAAAAAAAAGGCTGATTAGGAAAATTAAGGAGTGATCCCAATTTTTTAAAAGTTTAACCCGTGAAATGCAAAGGTATTTACTAGCAGGTGATAAGGCATGATGATCCAGACCAACATCTAGGGGCAGGAGAGATAGCTCAGCGAACTAAGCACCTGTTTAGGCAAGCTCAGCAAGCAGGTTCATCCTCCGCCCTGGGGCGGCCATCGAGGCCGGATGTGGTGGCGCACGGCTGTAATCCCAACGCTGGGGAGGCTGAAAACAGGAGGCTCACTAGGAGTCTGAGCTGTGTAGCGAGACTCTGTACCAAATACTTTAAAAGAAAAGACCAGGAGCTGGGGATAAGCGCCCTGAGTTCAATTCCCAGTTCCATAAATAAATAAACAAAATGAAAAGACCAGCTGATTTCAATCCCCAGTTCCATAAGTAAGTAAATAAATAACATGAAAAGACCAGCACCTACCCTCCTCTCCCGTAGTCTGCCCAATTCAATTCCCTCCTTCCCAAGGCCCGGCTTTCCCAGACACGCCTCCCTTGGCCACGCCCTACCTTGGGCACGCCTCCCTTGACCACGCCTCCTAGGTTCAGCCCGCCCTGCTCCACTTCCTCCTCTACCGGCCTCACGTTGGTTGCGTTGCCTCAGGTTCCGCCTCCGCAGTCTCAGGCTTGCCTTGACCACACCCACAGGGTGTTACCTGCCCCTCCCCGCTGTCATTCTTCGGGCCCTTTTAGGAGCAAGGACCGGAGCCAGGACCGGCAGGAGGCTGCCTTCAGCGTTGCCTGAATAGCGAGTCTCCCCGCCCTGGACAAGCGGCTCAATCAGAGTCCGTCCCCGCGAGCCATAGTTGCAAATGGAACGAAGATTCCTGGACTTTTGAGTCTCCGCGGATTGGGGTTGGTGAGGGTAGTTGTCACTCACCCTGGTCCGGCGCTTTCGGGGCAGCCTCTCACGCGCCGCGGCCAACGAAGGCCCCCGCCAAGGCCCCGGTTTGTTTGAGTGAGCGTCGCCCCTGTTGTCGCCACCAATGGGTCGCGGCACACGCTCGCGATCGCGGTCGTCCGGTCGCAGGGGCAAAAGGAGGCGGAGCGGGAGTCGGAGCCGGAGCCGAAGTCGTAGCGGCAGTCATGGGCGGCGAAGGTCCCGTGAGGACGAGGAGCGTCGCCGGCGGAGGCGGCGGAACCGGGAACGCAGGTGGGACCGCTGTGGGTGGGGTATCGCTGGTAATGGGACTCCTGTCTCGGGGGTTCCCGGCCTAGGGCCGCTGAGATGCCGCTCCCTACGACGTGGCCTGGGAGGCCTTCCTGGCTGAGAGGGGTGTCCGAGCTCGACTAATCAGACAGCGAAAGGAGTGGAACTGGAAAGAAAGAAGATGGTACCGTTGTCCCGGCAGTAGGTGGCCGCTTGATGGTAAACGTAATCGGAAAGCGGGTAGATCCAAGAGGGGCTTTGGAAGTGGAGGTGACAACCGTTGCTAATGGAGTTGAGATGTGAAAGGGCTGGGTTTGATGACAAGCGACAGGAGTCACGGTTGACTCCTCTTACCCGTGTCTCCGCTTCTCCAGGGCCCACAGCCCTTTCTTCTGGCGATGGGGCATCCGGCCAGACGTGACTTGAGCCCCCTCACCGCTTCCCCGATCCCAGCACACTGATGCCCAGTTGTGGACGCAGTAGCCCCTGAGGCCCGTGGCGGCTGTGACACTCCCCAGTCCTACCCTCCTGTCATTCAAGTTAGCCTGGCTGGGTCCGCAGGGTCTCCGTGGAGCTAGTCCAGATGTTCTGGAAAAGCACTGCTGTGTGCTTCTGGGTTCTTGTCCTTTGAATGTAGAAGATATGATTTGAACAAGGCCAACAAACTACAGCCATGAAGAAAAAGTAGTTATACTCTGATCGAGGGAGCAGTACTGGGGATTGAACCCAGGACCTTTGCATTTGGCTGCATCGCCCCGCCTTTTTTGTATTTTTTATTTTAAGTCTGGGTCTCTCAGTTCCCTAGGCCTCAAACTCTTGATTCTCCCACCTGAGCTAACCAAACAGCCACCATGCCCAGCTAGTTTTACATTTGTAAGTACTGGGCAGAAACCGAAAGAAAGTGCATGTTTGGTGACATGTGAGAGTTTATGGAATTTAGTGTTCACAAATAAAGTCTGATGGGAACGCAGCCATGTTTATTTCATCGTATACTATGGCTGGCTGTGTGCTGTAGCGGGAAAGTTGAGTAGTTTTGTTATGTAAGGACTAGGTGACCTGCTGAGCTATATTATTGTACAAAGTTGCACCTTTGGTGTACCAGCGCCCAGGAGGCTGAGGCAGGAGGATCACTCCAAGCCAAACCCTGTCTCAGAAAGAAAAAATCTTCACCACGGCCCTTACCAGAAGTGTGCAGACTTCCTTAGCATGTACAGTGCTCTGCAGGGAGCCAAAAAAAGTAAATGTTTGTGGGCTTTTATTCAAGCCCGAGGCGTTGATGTGTTTACATTGGCTCAAGCACAGCAACGTCTTTTTTTTTTTTTTTTTTGTATTTTAGGGAAGGGTCTACATATTGGGTGTTCAGGATCTCACTACTACATTGGACTTATCTTAGCACACACCAGGGTTGGGGCTGGCATGATAGGCCCAGGGATTGAACCCCTGGCCCCTGCACCTGCCTATATGATCATGTTTGATGTGTACTGTTTTCTTTCTTTCTTTCTTTCTTTCTTTCTTTCTTTTTTTTTTTTTTTGCAGAACCGCATTGAACTCAGGCCCTTGTGCTTGCCAAGCAAACACTTATTCTACTGAGCTATCTCCCCAGCCCCGCTTTTTTCCCCTGAGCCAGGGTGTTAACAGTCTAGTTCAGGCTGGCCTTGAACTCACTTTGTAGCCAGGGCTGACCTCAAACTCACAGTGATGCTTCAGCCTCAGCTTCCCCAGTAATTAATAAACATGCGTCACTATGCCCAGCAGTGTGTGATTTCTGCTACCTGAATTAGTTGCAGGTATTAGCCTTATTAGATAGTGTAACTAGAATAAGTGTTGTGTATAAAAATTAGATCAAGTTTATAGTTGGTGGATGTAAGAGATACAAAGTAAAACGGTTTTCATAGCTTAGAGTCTTTGACATGAGTGGAATAGATGGAGCACTTAGGAAGACATGTGGTGATGGTTCTCCAAGTCCAGGGAAACAAAGACATTAAAAATCTCTTCCCAGGGGTTCGAGTGTCGGTCCCTGCTCCGAGTGTCGGTCCCTGCTCCGTGCTCTTACTTTTTCACTCCAGCTAACTCCTGGCCTTTCTTGGGGCAGTCGGAGCCCCACTGCTGCCTGGTGGCCTGGTGTAGACACTGGGTGCACTCGGGTCTTTGGCTCCTGCCCTTTGGATCCTGTGCCCCTGCCCCAGTGAACTTCTCTACCCCTCCCTTCCTTGGCCTTCTTGCAGGGGCTTCCTGCAAAAGAATTCCTGCTTCGGGGCCTCTGCACCTGCTGTTCCTTCCACCTGGGATGCACTTGCCCAGATGTTCCCTGGCTTCCTCCCCCATGTCCTCCAAGTGAGCTATCTGACATGCAGGGCCATCCCTCATCCTCCCTGAGCACTTGTGGCTCCCCTGGCCTCCCAATTCTAGACATTCTGTGTGTGTGTGTGTGTGTGTGTGTGTGTATACACGTGCATGTGTGCTCACACGCATTCACACTCATGTATGTGTTCTCCATGGGGAACCCAAGGAGGCAGAACTGTCCCCATCACCTAGGACAGTGCCTGCCATCTAGTAGGCTCTCCCTGAGCATCCAGCCAAGGCCACTTGAACAGCAGGCACTCAGCATGCCTTGGCGGGTCCTCTCCCCCAGGTCAGATTCGGAGGACGAGCGGTGGCAACGGCCAGGAAGGCACAGCTGGAGCCCCCCACCACCCCGTTGGCATTCCCGGAACCGGAACCGGGACCGGTCCTCGCCATCAGACTCTGGAGAGGAGCAGGCATGGGGCCGCCATGGACGCCGGCGCTCATGGTCCCCGCGATCCTCTGCATCCAGCACAGCCTCTCCGGGGTGCTCACAGAGTCCCAGAGCCGTGGCAGCAGCGGCCCTAAGCCAGCAGCAGAGCCTGCAGGAGCGGCTGCGGCTGCGAGAGGAGCGCAAGCAGCAGGAGGAGTTGCTCAAGGCCTTTGAGACGCCGGAGGAGAAGCGTGCGCGGCGGCTTGCTAAGAAGGAGGCCAAGGAGCGCAAGAAGCGGGAGAAGATGGGCTGGGGCGAGGAGTACATGGGCTACACCAACACCGACAACCCCTTTGGCGACAACAACCTTCTGGGCACCTTTATCTGGAACAAGGTGAGCGCCTGCGCTGTCTGTCCAAAGCGGTCCTCTTGCCCAGCGGGGTGTGCCTGACCTGCAGTGCCCAGGCTCCTGTGCTTTGTTGGTCCTGTTGTAGCCAGGTATTAGCCTGGGTCCCTCCTGCTGAGTTGTGCTCACAACCCCTAAATACTTTTTTTTTTTTTTTTGTGGAACCAGGGATTGAACTGAGGCCCTTGCGCTTGCCAGGCAAGCACTTATTCTACTGAGACATCTCCCCGGCCCCCTAAAACCCCTGAATAATACGCATTTGATTTTTTTTCCTGGGTTGTTTTTTTTTTTCCCCTGTATGTTTTTGTTTGTGTAGAGGTATACTGGTGATAGAAGCCAGGGTCTTAACACTGAGTTCCATTCTCAGCCTCCTTTTTACATTTTTATTTTAAACTTTTTTTTTTTTTTTTTTGCGGAACCAGGGATTGAACTCAGGCTCTTGTGCTTGCCAGGGAAGCGCTTATTCCACTGAGCCATCTCCCCAGCCCTACATTTTTATTTTAAAACAGCATCTTGCTAAATTGTTCCGACTGGCTTGAACTCAAGATTCTCCTGCATCTGCTTTCCAAACTGCTGAGATAGATAGCTCAGCAGCATAGGTGCCTGCCTGGCAAGCCAAAGTCCAGAGTTTAATCCCCAATACCAGCCGCCCTCCAAAAAACTGCTGAGACATTGTTTTTTTGTTTTTTTGTTTTTAAGGTGGGACAGGTATCCACCACCAGGCCCACCTTAATAACATTTAGCCTTCAAAAAGTGGTTTTGTTGAGGGGTTGGACCCAGGGCTTCCTGTGTGCTGGGCATACTGTGCTGTGGCCACTCAGCCTGAGGGTCCCATCGCCCTATGGCACATCCCCTGTCTTCTGCCATCACAATGTGAGCCCTGTCTGCCCAGAACCAGCCTTGTCCCAGTATTCCTGAAGAAAGGGCTGTCCCCAGGTGGGCTTTGTGGTGGCAGGTGCCATATGTCCTCTGTGCCTGTCATTGTACCTCACCTGGCCACTGAGCCACCAGCCTTGGCCATGGGCACAGCCTGAAGCCAGTGGGCTCTGCTGTCTCATAGCGTTGCTGGTCCCCAGACCTAAGCTCATCTGTATAGGGCCACTGCTCTTAGGGGACTCTAGTGGTCATCTCGGGCTTTGGTGCTCCCAAGCCTGTGACAGCCTAGCTCCCTTTTGCCTGTTGTTGCATGAGTGTCTTCCTCCATGGCTGAGTCTCCATGCCACCCTGCTCTTTTCTTTGTCTGTCCCAGTTGTCTCTTGTAAGGGTACTGGCCACTGGGACTGGACTTAGCTACACCAGGGCGACCATTATAACTAGCACTGCGGGTCTTTTCTGATACATCCTTTCATGTCTTCAGCAGAAGATGGGCGAGGCAAGCAGGGTCTGGTCCTCAATGTGAGGATGCGCAGCTGGCTTTATGGGGCCCCGTGGGGGGGTCCCTCCTACCCAGGGCACTGCCTGTCTCACCCTCATGCCTGTGCTCAGAGCAGCTGCCTGACCTCGCTCCCGGTCTCCATAACCTCATCAGGGCTCTGTACACCTGCAGTGGTGCAGGCCCTGGGTGCTCGCTGCAGCACCATCCCCTCCTGGGAGACTGAGCAAGGCAGCCCTGTGGTGCCCCAGAGGCTGTTTGTCCACATATCAGTGGACCTGGCACAGTCTCCTGGGTGCTGGGAGCCTGGTAGGGAGCACAGTTGTCACACAGTGTCCTCAGGACAGAGCTCCTCAAATGCTGCCACTGCGCATGTAGTGTGAGTTGGGCAGCCTCACACCTCTACCTCCAGTGACCCCCGGCCAGTCTGCATCCCCAGCCTGTGCTGCTCCTCACTGTCCTGCCTCCCTCTGCACTGCATGCAGGTGGGGATGCTGAGGCTTCACCTCGGTGTAAAATGAGTGCTCCAGGTCCCATGACCCACCCCGGGGTGAGCTGGCAGGTGGAGACAGCCCTTCGGATTCTGCATCCCTCTTACACACCCTGATCTAGTGTCGCTGCTGCAGGTGACGCCAAGAGCTTTAGGAGGGAGAGGAGACAGGAGGAGACGCTGAGCCACAGTCACTGTGTGCAGAGCATGTGCTCCACCCCTTGGTCCCATCCCAGTGCCAGGGTGCCCTGGCCTCCATGTCAGCATGGGTGGGTGCAGCGGAGCTCAGTGCTGGGGTTACTCCATGCAGGCCCTGGAGAAGAAGGGGATCAGCCACCTGGAGGAGAAGGAGCTAAAGGAGCGGAACAAGAGGATCCAGGAGGACAATCGGCTGGAGCTGCAGAAGGTGAGTGGCCATAGGCTCTCAGGGGCACTGCTGGGACCCAGTTGACCTGTGAAGTCCAGGCTTCTCTGGCTTCAGGCACAGCTGGCTCCAGGGAGCTGTTTCCCTTAGCCCTGGGTTCTGCTGTCCACTGCCTTACTCTCGACCACTCCAGCTACCGGGTCTGCAGCAGAAGGGTGCTGTCCTGCCCCAGCACCTGCCCTGCGGGCCAGGGAAGGATGGACTCGTGTGACCTTCCCACCATGCCTCTTCATGCCTGTGTCACCCCCAGGTGAAGCAGCTGCGGCTGGAGAGGGAGCGTGAGAAAGCCATGCGGGAGCAGGAGCTGGAGATGCTGCAGCGGGAGAAGGAGGCAGAGCACTTCAAGACGTGGGAGGAGCAGGAGGACCACTTCCACCTGCAGCAGGCCAAGCTGCGGTACGTCCACCCTCCCCTCCCAGCACCCTCTGCCCGTTGTACCCCTCCTGCAGTGTCGGCCTCTATTCCCAGCAGCCAGTGCCCTGATTACCTCTGAGGTCCATCTGCACTCAGATCTGCCTGGCCCCAGCTGTGTCCCATGGGAACAGAGCGAAGGTCCAGCTCTGGGGCCCTACAAGGGAGCTGTGGTCACTGCCTGCTCTGGTCCCAAGTCTGCCGGATCTTCACGCTCCTGGGGATCCCGTGCAGCCCAGCCCCAGGTGCCCTCCTGGGCAGAGCTGGAGGCCACCTCGGCACACCAGTCCTGTCCCTACCCCACTGGGCCCAGCTGGAGCCCATGGTACCCTGTCTGCCTATTGCTGGGCTCCCTGCCCCCACAGGAGGATGTCCTTACTCTGACACCACGTGCCCCACAGCTCCAAGATCCGCATCCGTGATGGCCGGGCGAAGCCCATCGACCTGCTGGCCAAGTACATTAGTGCTGAGGACGATGACCTGGCGGTGGAGATGCATGAGCCATATACCTTCCTCAATGGACTCACAGTGGCGGACATGGAGGACCTGCTGGAGGACATCCAGGTGCCCTGCCATGGCCCCCTGCCCCTTCCTGATGGCCCCTCCCCTGCCATGACCACGTCCCTCCTTGATGGCTCTGCCCCTGCCTGGCCCCACCCCTCACCACCCTGCCCCTCCCAGGTGTACATGGAGCTGGAGCAGGGCAAGAACGCTGACTTCTGGCGTGACATGACCATCATCACCGAGGACGAGATCTCCAAGCTCCGCAAGCTGGAGGCCTCGGGCAAGGGCCCAGGTAACTGGGCAGCGCTGTGCCCTTCAGGCCTGGTGGGCACTACAGTGGGCCACATAGTCCTGCTGGAAGCCTCAGAGTCCCCGCAGGGCCTGGCACCCTCAGCAGGCCTCACTTTCCCCATCTTTGGTCCTCATGGCCCCTTTCCAGGCCTCAACCAGATGGAGCCACTAGGGGGCAGCAGGGGCTCTACTGCTGGGGCTGTACACTGAGGCAGCCAGACTCATACCAGTGCATCCAGGCCTGCTTTAGAAGGGGTGACCTTCTGGTACTGAGCTCCCTGTGAGCAGGGCCGTGGGGCACTGCTTGAGCCCCTGATCTGTGAAGCAGAGCATGGCTGGGAACAGGGTCCCCACCTGGTGGCCCGGCCCTCCCTGTCCAGACCCCCGTGGCTTCTGCACTCCATGTTTCCTCCCTGAGTATCCAGCCTGCCCCCAGCCAGGGTGATGTGGCCCGAGCCTGGGGAAGGGCAGGGCAGCAAGCAGGCAAGCACAGGCTGGGGGCCACTCCCAGCCAGCCCTGAGCAACCTCATCCCGCAGGTGAGCGCAGGGAAGGTGTGAATGCCTCAGTCAGCTCCGACGTGCAGTCGGTGTTCAAGGGCAAGACCTACACGCAGCTGCAGGTCATCTTCCAGGGCATTGAGGGCAAGATCCGTGCTGGAGGCCCCAACCTGGACATGGGCTACTGGGAGAGCCTGCTGCAGCAGCTGCGTGCGCACATGGCCCGCGCCAGGTGAGCAGCCGCCCCCTTTGGGCAGCATGGGAAGTCCAGCCCATCCATCTGCCCGCCCGCCTGTCCTGGGAGTGTGTACAGATTCCCCGCATGCTTGGCACCCTCTTGTAAACACTGCTACTCCGCCTGTCGCCAGCGTTAGTCTATAAATGATTAAATTTGTCATCATCCTCCAGGCTCTCCATGCCCCTCAGGCCCCCCGTCCTTCCCCCCTCACCCCAGATTTGGCCCTTTGGATCCTGTTTGCCCGTGCCAGACCATTGAGAGAACTCAGTCACAAACCACTGGAAAAAAAAAAAAAAACAACACTGGGGCCGGGGCTGGTGAAACGACTCAGTGGAATAAGCGCTTCCCCGGCAAGCGCAAGGGCCTAAGTTCAATCCCCGGTTCCACCAAAAAAAAAAAAAAATCACTGGGGCCTCAGCCTGTGGGAAGCCATGGAGCCTAGGCGCCCTAGGGGGAGGGTGGAGTCAGGAGGTTGTGCATTTGGTGCTGGCCCTATGGGCCAGCCTGGGGTGACTGCCATCCTGTCACAGGCTCCGAGAGCGCCACCAGGACGTGCTTCGGCAGAAACTGTACAAGTTAAAGCAAGAGCAAGGTGTGGAGAGTGGCCCCCTGTTCCCCATCCTCAAGCAGGAGCCACCATCCCCCAGTCAGAGGTAGGTGGAAGGGCAGGGCACAGGACCAGCTCTGCCTTTGTAGGACGCCCCTCACCTCTGCTCTGTCTGCAGCCTGGAGCCTGAGGAGACTGCACCCACACCGCCAGGGCCCTCGGTGGAGGGCGGCACTGCAGAGGAGGGGTCTGCACCTGGAGAGGGCGAAGGGGATGGGGAGGGTGACGGCGACGGCGACGGCGAGGCGGTACTCATGGAGGAGGACCTGATCCAGCAGAGCCTGGACGACTATGATGCGGGCAGATACAGCCCGAGGCTGCTCACGGCACATGAGCTGCCGCTGGACGCACACGTGCTGGAGCCGGACGAAGACCTGCAGCGCCTGCAGCTGTCACGGCAGCAGCTCCAAGTTACTGGTGAGTGGGGACAGGGCCCTTGAGGGTGAAGCCTGGGCATCCGTGGGGCAGGGACAGATGGGGGGCTCTGAGGGAAGTGATGCTGTGGGGCGGGGCCATCGTGAGCCCAGGCTGGTTTTGAGGGTGCAGAAGCCTCACCTCCCCTGGGGCCCAGCCCGGCAAGCCACCACACTGGGGCACCTGGGCAGTGCTGGGGAAGGCCCGAGGGGCACGGAGGGCCTGGGCACGGCAGCATCTGGAGTCAGGGCTGTGAGGAGATCAGGCTAGCCGAGGGCTGGGGGTGCTGGGATAGCGGGTTCCCCTCTGCCAAGGGCAGCACCCCCAGAGCAGGAGGGAGATCTGGGCTGATGCCCATGCCCACCTGTGCAGGCGATGCCAGCGAGAGTGCTGAAGACATCTTCTTCCGGCGCGCCAAGGAGGGCATGGGCCAGGATGAGGCGCAGTTCAGCGTGGAGCTGCCACTCAGCAGCAAGGCCTACCTGTGGGCCGACAAGTACCGGCCCCGCAAGCCGCGCTTCTTCAACCGCGTGCACACAGGCTTTGAGTGGAACAAGTACAACCAGACGCACTACGACTTCGACAACCCCCCGCCCAAGATCGTGCAGGGCTACAAGTTCAACATCTTCTACCCCGACCTCATCGACAAGCGCTCCACGCCCGAGTACTTCCTGGAGGCCTGCTCTGACAACAAGGACTTCGCCATCCTGCGCTTCCACGCAGGCCCTCCCTATGAGGATATCGCCTTCAAAATTGTCAACCGCGAGTGGGAGTACTCGCACCGCCATGGCTTCCGCTGCCAGTTCGCCAATGGCATCTTCCAGCTCTGGTTCCATTTCAAGCGCTACCGCTACCGTCGGTGATGGCGGGCACTGAGAGGCAGGCTGGGATGGCCTTGGCCCCCATCCAGAGCCCCCCACCAGGCCTCCATCTGCGCCTGCATCACACAGAATGTAGCTGTAAAAGCGGCCTTGGAGAACAGAGGGGACATCAGGTGGCCTCAGCATGGGCGTGTCGCAAGGGGAGGTCAGAACAGAGGGGTCTGGCAACTGTCAGCAGATATCCCCATGCAGGTGGCACAGGAGCCACCCACTCTCACCCCAAGTCAGACCTTATCTGGAGGAGCTGGCAGTGCCCTTGGGCCGTGCCCTGAGCAGGCCGCTATGCCAGGCAACAGGAGGTGGAACAGGGCCAGCATGGGAAATAGGCGGCAGGAGGCCGAGCACAGAGTGGCACCTCCCAGAGTGTCACAGGGCCACACAGTGCCCGCGCCCCTCCCACCCACCCTCCTTGGCACTGGGCTGTGGTAAGGTCTGTGTCATCATGGCCCTTGGGACCCTGAGGCACTCCTTGGCTCCAGTCACCAGCTGTCAGGACCAAGAGCTCCACCCAAGGCCTGTGTCATCTGGAAATCATTTCAGTCTGTTTCTCTGGGAAACTTTTTTTAGGGGGCATATAAATCATTTTATTTTTGTTGCTTGGCCTCCATGAGCAGGCATGTGTTTGTGACGAGCGCTTCATTCTACAATCAGAATTGGCAGTGAGCGCAGGGCCACAACACCCACACCCAGTGGTCCCGGCAGTGACGTCCCACATACCGTGGTGCCCTGTCCCAGCCAAGGCGCCTTCACACCCACAGCGTGACACTTAAACATAGTATGTGATGCCTCGAGCCACTTTTCCAGTCCCTATCCTCCAGCACTGTTACCTCCTGAGTAGGGGACGTGATCATCCCTTCTGCTAGGAAGAGGGGACGCCAGGAGGTCAGAACACTTGGCTGTCTGGGGACATCTAGTGGTCACACGACTGCTCTGGTGTGGGGTGTGTGAAGGCCAGGGGTACCACCCTACAGCGTGCAGTGCCCAGCTCTGCCCCACGTCCATCATGTCAAGGCCGAGGAGCTGCAGTAGATGGAGATGAGAGCGGGCGCCCAGCCCCAGGCCACCCGCAGTCACCTAGCTGACTTTTTTTTTTTTTTTTTTCAGTACTGGAGGTTAAACTTAGGACCCCACTCTTGCCAGGCAAGCGCTTATTCTACTGAGCTATCTCCCCAGCCCTTTTTTTTTCCTTTTGACAGAAGGTTTCACTATGTATTGCAGGCTTTCCTCAAGCTCACGGTGATGGTGTGACAAGCGTGTGCTGTCACACCCACCCAAGCCCTGACCTCTGCTGCAGAGGAACCTGTAGTGTGAGGCTTGAGGGACAACACGGAAGTATTGTCTAATCAAGGGAGCTCTTCCCGTCATAGACCAACATAGTCCAGAGTGAAAAATAAATAGGGTGTGGCAGCACTGTCCATCCCATCTGAGCCCTTCTGCAGCCTGTGGCAGACATTGCTCATCAATCACAGAGCAGTGCATCCAAGCAGCCTCTACCAGTTGATCCCTGAGCTCAGTGGCTGAGTGTGGGCTGTGGGCCCAGCCCCTGGTAGCAGGGCTGAGTATGACATCCCCAGAGGCACTCTGACCCCAACTCAGTGCTTGGTTAAATGAGAGCTTAGCAGGCAGTACATGCCTGTTATCTGTTCTCTTCAAGAAAATACAGCAGGAAGATCACAAGTTCACAGCCAGCTTAAACATTGGCAAGGGCTGGTAGTGTTTGCCTACTGGGTGCAAGGCCCAGGGGTCTAGGCCCAGCACTGCAAAACTGGGGTGGAGAGGCTGTGACATGGCGCATTCCCACATCAGCCCTCCGTTTCTCCTCAGTCCCTACATGTCCGCCCAGGTCCAGTGTCCGTCCTGTGTCCTGCTTGTGGTCTCAGTAGGGGATGGACTGCCCCCTTCTGGGGGACAGCGCTAAGGCAAGAGGTGCCAAGTGAGGAAAACCACAGGAGAGCCTGGAGAGCGCCCTGGAGGAACCCAGGACCTGCGGCAGGTGTGCCCTGGATGCCTGGCCGCAGGATTGGGACCCTGGCAGGCACCAGGGAGACACTGAAGGTTCATGACAGGCAGGGCCTCCGAGCCCACGCAGGCCGCGGTGGGACAACCCCCCGACCCCGCCCTGGCCCTGGCCTCAGGTCCCCTGGTGTCTCGGAAGCAGCCCCCAGCCCCCTCAGCCTCTTCCTTTCCTCAGCTGTGTCCAAAGCTAAGAATAGCCCTTCCCTGCCTGGCTTGGCCGGAAGCCACAGCCATGGGGGGCACATCCTGAGCCTGGCCTCTGTTCCCACCACAGCCCTCCAAGCCGGGAGGCTCCTCCCTCCCACCCAGGACGGATGTGTGGTTGGGGACCAACCAGGCACCAGCAGGTCATGTTTAAGCCCCATTTGGGCCTTAACATCACTCTCCACCAAGCCTCCGTTTCCCCACGTGTACAACACGCATCCTTTCCTCCTGCCTTCCAGAGACCTGTGAGAAACCGGAAACAAAAAGTCAGCGCAGCTCTTCTTTGACCTTATATCTCCAGGCTGAGGGCAGAGAAGGAGAAGGAACGGCCTCCCGCCTCCTGCCTCTCCTCCTCCCGCGCTATCTGCAGCCCCAGCTCCAGCTCCTACACTCCTTCCCCTCAGGATGACATGAGCTCACTTCTGGGCTTCCTCAGTGGCCTGGACGGTCTGTGTCCACCCCCATCCTTCCAGCTAAGGGGATGCTCAAGAGCTGCCCCACCTGGGTCTCAGAACTGTGCCCTGTGGAATTGAAGGGAGTAAGGTGGGGAGAGCTGGAAGACTTGAAAAGGGAGGGGTCTTGGCGCTAGGGCTTTGCAGGTGCAGAGTTGGGACAGGGTGCCCCTTGCCAAAGAAGAGGAACTTTAGTGTTAAAGGCCTAAAGTTAAAGTCAGGTTAAATGCCTCAGGCACTCAGACAATGGGATAGACAGGGAGGGATGGGAGGGATATAGGTGTGGGCTGAGGCCGGAAGGATGGGGGGTAGGGCAGCTAGGAAGGGGCTTCCTGCCTTCCTGCACTGGAGCCCATCCTCCAACTTGGCCTGGGCTGTGGCCCCTCCTAGGCCACCCTAGGGGACTGTACAGGAAAGGGTCAAGGCTGGTCAGTCATCCTGGCCCACTGCAGGCCTAAGTCAGGCCAAGTTCAACCAGCTAAAACCAGTGAGGCCTCAGTCCTACTCTCCACATGGCCTCAAAAGGCGGCCCAGCCTGCAGGCCCCTGTCCCTCCCCACCCAAAGCAGTAAAGACCCTTTCCAAGACTCCCCTCTACCAATCTTTGGGACAAGTTCTCAATAAATCAGTAAGCTGCCCAGGCTGGGCCCGAACTTGTGATTCTCCTGCCTCAGCCTCCTAGAGTGCCAGCTCTGAGGGCTTTTAAGGTAGTCATCTGCCAGGGAAGCCCTGCCCACGCCTGGCCTCTTCTGCTGCACCTCTGTGCTCGGACAGCTCCATCCATCCCTCCATACCCTGCGCTGGTCTCAGGCCAGGAAGACCGCCCCTCCCCTCTGCCCAGGCCGACCCGCAGGACAAAGCCACCTCCAGCCCCTTCTCAGCCAAGTGGCTCTGAATGTCTAATCGCCCCCACCCCAGGGCCTCAAATGTCCTATATTTATTAAGCCCCTACTGTGTGCCAGGCCCAACTCCACCTGGTTAACCAGCGGGGAGCCTCCGTCCTCTCCCTGTTCCAGGGTCCCAGTCTCTCGGGAGCTGACCTCCCGGCGGCTCCCAGCCCCTCCAGGCAAGCCCTGGGCGCTGTCCAGACAGTGAATAATTCGGGCTGGCAGTGGGAGGCCGGGAGGGGCCCCGCGGGGCAGGCTCCAGAGGCTGGGGTAGGGGGCAGGGACCCCTGCCTTTGCCCATCCCCCGACAGATGGGGGATGTCGCGGGCATCCCCTCCTCCAGCTGTGTCCTTGGCAGGCTGGGGGCGACCTCCGACTTGGAGGCCGCCAGGCCAGGGCTGGGGCGGGGCCGGCACGGGGGCGGGGCGGGGCCAGCGGGGCGGGGAGTCGGGGACACAGCGGAGACCGCGCCGCCAGCCCCAGCCCACCCCGCCACTCCGACCCTTGGGGGAGCCGCTCGGCGCCCCAGCGCTCCTTGCCACCACGCCCTCATCTGGGCCCGCCCGTGACCCGCAGCTGCCCGACATCTGTCAGGCCCACTCCCCTGTGACTCAGTTTCCCCAGCAGTCCCCGGAACTGGATTCCCGTATCCCACGCTTTGCCTGCCTTCCGCTCTCCTGCCCGCCTCAAGGCGCCAGAGCATTTGCCCTTGGGCTCGCGAGACGACCTGAGACTCCGCGGAGCAGCTCCGCAGCCGGGCCAGGTGAGAGCCACAGGTGAGGTTGCCAGGTGAAGCCTGCTCCCCGTGCATGGGGCCCGGCGGATGCACCCCAAGGAATGAGAGCCCGATGGCTAGCGTGTCGGGCTGTCCCTGCCCAGCAGTGAGTGGGTGTGTCACCATGGTCAGTGATGTCAGCCAGGTGCTGGGTGTCTGTTTGTCCCATGCCAGTGGCCTGAGCAGGAGGGAGGGAGGGTGGCCAGGGCTGGACCTGTGTTTCAGGTTTCTCCTAATCTAGGAGGGACCTGTCCAATCCTGAGGGTCCCTTGGCCCTGAACAGGGGCTGCTGGGAGCTGGGGTAGCTGTGTCTGAATGGCTGTGTGCTTGTGGCTTTCCATGTGTTGTGCCTTGCTGACTGTGTTCTGTCGTTCTGTCTGTCTGTCTGTCTGTCTGTCTGTCTGTCTGTCTGTCTGTCTGCCTGCCTGCCTGCCTGCCTGTCCGCCTGCCTGTCCGCCTACCTGCCTGCCTGTCTGTTTGTGTGGCTGCCTGTTCATCTGATTGGCAGTGTGTCTAGCTGTCCCCATCTCTGTCACCTGTGTGTAACAGGCCCACCATTAACCGCCAGCAGAGTGGCCTGGGTCTCCTCCCTGGGCCCACACCCAGAGCTCAGGCCCACACACTCAATGCACAGATGAGGAAACCAGTTCATGGGGGGCGGGGGGCGCACGCTTGGAGGGCCCAGGCTGCAAAGCCATCTGCACCCTTTGGGCTTGGTCGGGGGTAGCTCATTGGAGTTAAAAACAGGAAAAGGTCCCGGAAATGAAAGGCTGTGGTGAGGGAGGTGGGCACCCCTGGCGCCTGGCAGGCGGGGTATGTTGCATGCAGGTGTGTGTGGGCGTCAGGATGGGAGGTTCTGCATGATGAGCTGCTGCATCTGAATCTTCAGGCCCTGATGCAAAGGCTGCCCTGGTCCATAGGAGCTCGCTGGACATGGTCAGAAACCTTAAGAAATAAAGGTGCCTGAGGTCCTGGGGCTCTCACCCTGTCCACAACAGCAGGAAGGCCACCCAGGCTGAGGCCACTGCTTCAGGACTCCAGTGGGCCTGAGCAGAATGGGCACCAGGTGGGTGCGCCCTTCCCCTGTCTCTCAGAGGGAACGCTGGGTAGCAGAGCTGATCCTCCACTCTGCGTGGCCAGCTGGGGACCCGAGAGCTAGTCCAGGCTGCTGTGAGGACAATGTCACCTACTAGAGCCAGACTGTGGGGCAAGCCAGGGCGGGTGCTGGATGGGAGCTGGGTCGGCCCTGTGCCCCTCACACTGTGGCCAGGAGGGCCTGGGAGCTGAAAGTGGCACATTTTGAGTGCCAGGCAGCCTGGGGCCAACACTTGGCCCAGGGCCTGGCTTGAGGCACCCCACACCCTGCACCCATTCCTGGCCACATTCCAGACCCAACCAGATTGCCATGGAAGTTCCAGAGGCTCCGTCCTTTGGAATTCTAGAATCTGAGGCCTTCAGGATTCCAGAAACCCAAGCTCATTAGAATTCCAGAATGCTGGAGGCTCTGAATCCCAACCTTCCTTGGTCTCAGGCCCAGAGATTCTTTCTGTTTTGGTTTGGTTTTGGAGACAGGGTCTCGCCCTGTGGTCAAGGCTGGCCTTGAATTCATTGTGTCACCCCTGCTGACCTCAAACTCATAGAGACTCTCCTGTCTCAGCTTCCCGAGGGTGGGGATCACAGATGTGTGATACCACATCCGGCTAAGTTGAGGGATTCTGTTTCTCCAACATTATTGCCAGAAGCTAGAATCCCTACCTCCCATGAGGCAGAGACAGAGAGAGATCCCTCCTTGGGCCACACTGGGCACTACCAATATAGGACCCTGATGCCAGATGCTCCCGCTGGCCTGCCTGGCTGGGGGAACCTGAGAGGCCCCTGTTACCTGAGCCCCAGTAGGGAGGGGCTGAGGAGGACTGCAGACTGTGGCCAAAGGAACTTGGTGCCTGTTTCCGTGCTTCCCATAGCCAAGGGCTGTGGGCCACAGGCTAGCTCCCAGAAGCCCTAGCTGTGTGTACCTGGGCCTGCCAGGCTCACGCACTGGGTGGGGGTCAAGGGAACCTAGAGGCCCAAGGGGGCCTGGCGCTCACTGCAGGCAGAAGCTGGGTCAGTGGCCGAAGACCTAGGCCGAGTCCCGGGAATGTTTAGAAAGAGCATACCAGCTGGGAAGGGAGGGAGCGCCCCATCCCAGGGGGAATCCAAGTCTGAGGTCACAGAGAGCAAGCTCTGCCCTTGAGTCCAGGGTTGCCATTGCTAGTGGTCTAGAAGAGCACCCCCCTACCCCCACACATGTGCGCCTCTCTGTGCCTCAGTTTCCCCTTGAGGTCACACCCCATGCAGATGGCAGAGGCCTTGGGTCTGGGCCAGGGGGCACCCAGGACGGCTGGCTGGAGCTCGATAATTTATGAGGCTCCGCGGGGAGGAACAGAACTCAGGGCCCTGCCAAGGCGCTGATTAAGGAGATGGGAACCAGGCCCAGGCCACCCACCAGGCTTCCCCTCAGCCTCCACTTCCGGCTCTGCTTCAGGGCAGCATCAACTGAGTGCCTACTATCTGTTTACACCAAGGGAAACTGAGGCCCGCCCCCCACCCCACTGTTGCTGGGTTTTAGGGCACTGGTTCCAGGTTCCTTCCATCTCAGACAAAGAATTGAACGAAACAAGCAGAAGTGGTGCAAAATTTGACATTTTTCTGAATAATTGAAAGTGAAGGATAGAGGAGAAACTGGCTCTGCAGCCTGAACTTGGGTAGAGTAAAAGAGAGGAAAAATAAAGATAAAAGTAGCCCCTACACGTGAGGGTGGGCTTCCAGGGAGCATACGCCTCGGGAGCCCTGTCTAGTCAGGGTCCTGGGCATTACTTGGTGCATGTGTCCTGAGGTCTTGTAATTCACAGGTCCTGTCTATGCCCTGTGTCGTCCTCAACTCCCCCTGAGGGACGCAAGGCCAGTGTCTATGGGCTGCGGAGGGAGGGGAGGCCGCTGTCTTCTGTAGCCTCTTCAGGCAGGTGAGACGGGAAACCCACCCGACCTCCCACAACAGGGCGCCCGCCATCCACTTTGGGGCCTGGTGGTGCCCTGGCAGGGTGGAAGACAGAAAATCCTAGAGAAGACAATGAAGAAAGTTAGTGAGCACTGAGCTGCTTGTTTGATGGGAGACAGAAACTTTCCTATTTGCCCAAATGGGAAGAGCAGGTCAGATGTTCGCACTTCCGGTAGAGAAGAGTGTGTCGGAGAAGACTGTTATGTCTGAGACCCACAGCCCCAGCAAGATCTTGTTTACTTCTCTAGAACAGCACTGGAGTCTTAGGGTTTTTTAAATTTTTTTTTTACATTTATTTATTTATTTAGTGTGTGTGTGTGTGTGTGTGTGTGTGTGTGTGTGGCCAGCTCAGCCCACCAGGGGGCGGGGCTGGCTGGCATGTGGTGCTGGGGGATCGAACTGCGGTCCCTGTGCTTTGCCAAGCTTGTTCCAGGCAGGTGCTTTAGACCACTGAGCCATCTCTCCAGCCCTGGAGTCTTAGGTTTTTAAAGAAAAATCTTAAGTCTCAACAGAGCCTCACAAGAACACCTTTTTCCTTTTGGTTGATTGTGTTCTTCAGACAGTTCAGATAGGACTGGCTTTGTTCTTGTAGAATTTTTTAATTGTCTTTTTGAGACAGGGTCTCCCTCTGTAGTTCAGGCTAGCCATGAACTCACTATGTAGCCTAGGCTGGTCTGAACTTGCAACAGTCCTCCTGCCTCAGCCTCCTGAGGGCTGGGATTACAGACATGTACCACCATGCCCAGCTTGGCTTTATTTTAGAAAGATGAATCCAGTTGTCTGTGTCAGTCACTTTCACTGCAGTGGCTGCTGCAAGGATGATTGAAAAGGGACATTTCCGTTTTGGCTTTTAACTGGTCAGCGAAAGTCCCCTTTCTCTGAGATTTTACGAGCACTTGGTCAGGACCAGCACGAGATGGTCCCCCTGGGCCAGGAGCTGGCAGAATTCGGTTCCCATGTCCTTGCTTGGGCCTGTTTTACTTGACCCAGATTAATGAGATACTGTACGAGTCTCGTGGCCTCTGGGTCTACTACTGTATCAGAGGACAGACATGGCTTCCCACAGAGCGGCTCGAATGGGCTCAGACTCAGCCCCGTTCGGGGCGTGTTACAAACCCTCAGGAGTTGCGCTGTTGGCAGTAACTGGAGCCCGGCCTCAGCCCTCTCTTGGCAAAGTTTTGCCAGAGCCCTTTAGGGTCTGGTTGGCTTCCCTGTGCCTTTCCAGAAAGCCTGAGGCTGCCAGATGGCCACCCAGAGTTATTTGGGAGGTTTAAAATAAAAAGTCCCACCATCGCTGTGGAGAGGCCGGGGTGGCCCAGATGTGGGGGTGAGTTCTGTCGGAGGCACCTTGACCACCTCCATCGCTTTTTCTGCATGGGGAGTGAAAGCTTCAGTGCAGAGGTCTCGGTCAGGACCAGCGCCTGTTCACTCCTCTACATGACAGCCTGTGGGGAACATCCAACCACAGTTCTCTCCAGGGTCCGTTCCTCTCTTCCATACAGGTTCTAAGAAAGAAGGCGGTTTGCCTGGGTGGTTTTAGGGCCCAAGTGGGCAAGCATTGAGCCCTGTCAGGTAGTAGCCACTGGTCTGAGTCTTGTGAAACCTCGAGGGTCCATTTCCAATGTAGCATCTCTTCCTATATGGAAGGAATCCTGAGGTGTCTTATAGCCCTCCTCTGTGTCCCTGTTTTATTTTATTTTATTTTATTTTTTTTGCGGAACCTGGGATTGAACTCAGGCCCTTGCGCTTGCCCGGGAAGCGCTTATTCCACTGAGCCATCTCCTGGGCCCCCCTGGTTTGCTTTCTAATACCACCGGATCCCTGTCTAATCCCCTGGCCCACTTACTGGCCTGGAGGTAGAAGACTGGCTTTAACAGCTCCTTGGGAAGTGGGAATAAGGCTAGAGCCCTAGGGATGCAAAGCTGTCCTTTGTCCGTCCCCCTCAGCCTCTTGATTTCCAAAGGAGATAGATGTCAGACATAGCTCTCTGGTGTCCTCGGCCCACGACTGCAGCCCCTAGCCTTTAGGAGCTGCAGGGTTCCCTGCCTGTGCTTGCTAGATGCCTGCCTGTTCCTTGGTCAGTAAGCCTCTTTCCCTCCAGCCTGGTGCGTGGGTGTGCAGCGCCAGAAAGGCTTATTTGGTGTCTGTAGATGTTCACTTTTGCCTTTCCCTAACATCAATGTGGGGGTAAGCGCTGTTAGCCCCGCCTTCTGAGCAGCCGATCCTGGGGGAAGGGGCTTAGCCCAGTGACCTGCTGTGTCCCCTGCTCTCCGTGTCCTTCTTGGACAAAGCTACTTCCACCCTCGGACCGCACCTCCTCGGGGGCTGGGAGGGACAGGCAACTGCTGCCCCGATCTCTTGCAGGGGTCTGGGAGGGAGATCCCTTGCGCAAAACAAGTTCACTTCTGGGCCTGTGGGCATCAAAAAGGCGGGAGTAAGAGTAGCGCCAAGCAAAAGGGTGCCGGCCATCTCTAACAGCCTGCGGGAGGACTGCCCAAGTGTACTGCCCTTTTCTCTTGCAAGGTTTTCACATTCAACCTTCAACCACTTGAAGCCAGCTTTCATATGATTATTTCTGCCTTGTCTCAATGTTATGTACACCATTTTAAGTGCACTAACTTTTTTTTTGGTGGAACCGGGGCTTGAACTCAGGTCCTTGCACTTGCCAGGGAAGCGCTTATTCCACTGAGCCATCTCCCCGGCCCATAAGGTTTTCACATTCAAAGGCAAACAGAAACTGGGAGTCTGAATGCATGGAGGGAGATGGGGAATGCATCTTTTTTTGTTTTTCTTTTGGATGGCTCAGGATGCCTTAAGTGCGAGTCTGTAAGGCATGAGGATCTGGGGATCGAACCACAGAATCCTGAGCCTGACTGCTTTGCTTAAGCAGGCTCTTAAACAACTGAGCTCTAAGGCTGAGGTCAGGCGTGGTGGCGCTGGCCTGTAATCCCAGCCCTCGGGAGGCTGAGGAGGGAGGATCACTGTGAGTTTGAGATGAGCCTGAGCTACAAAGTGAGCTCAAGGCCAGCCTGACCTGCATAGCAAGACTCTGTCTGAAAAAGACACACACACACACACACACACACACACACACACACACACACACACATCTAAGGCTGAGAATCAATTAGTGCCCTCTGGAATTTAGGAGAGAATTGTCTAGGGATCTGCTCTAGAGGGTGGCTTGGAATGACAACTTCATGGAGGAGGCAGAGGTCCTGTGCTGCCCGATACTCTTCTGCAGGCGTCGCTACAGGGAGCATGGAAGGATTGCAGGGAGCCTAAGGCTGCAAAAGCTGTGTGTAGTCGAGAAACCTGTCTGTAAGACGCCTCTGTGGGCTTGGTTTTTGTTTCTCACACCGGGAATTGAATTCAGGACCTTGCACTGGCTTGGCTCCTCTTTGATTGGATGCTGTTTTCGGTTGGGAAATCCGCTGGACTCTTTGTTATAAGACTGGTGTCAAGAATTTTCCCTCCCAGGTGTTCCATTATTCCATGCTGTGGGAGCCACTTGTTGGCTAATTTACTTAGGGAGACCGGAAGTGGCCCGATGCATAAACTGCATTCTGGCCCTCACTGGAATTTGAGAATTGCACCTAATTTTGCGAGTAAATCTCATCCTAGCAAGGTGGGACAATTAGAAACTCATGGTTCAACATTCACCTTTGGGCTGGGGTTATAGCCCAGCGGCATAGCACCTGGCTGACAAGCACAGGGTCCTGAGTTTGAGTCCCTCCCCCCCCAAAATTTGTCCCTTTAAGGTGACACATGAGAGCCAAGCAAAGAATCTCTGAGGGCCGGCCAAATAACTCAGCTGATTGAAGCACCTGCAAGCACATCTTGTAGACCCTTCCCCAAAAATAGAGGGATTCTTTTTTGGCAGGCTCAGCCTGCCTTAAGGACGGGTCTGTTAAGGAAGGTGGAGGTGGGGTTCGAACCATGATATCCTACGCCTGACTGCATTTGCATGAGCAGGCACTTAAACAACTAAGCTATGGAGCCCAGGAGGTGGCTCAGTAGAATAACCGCTACCCTGGCAAGTGCAAGGGCCTGAGTTCAATCCCCAGTTCCACAAAAAAAAAAAAAAAAAGAATCTCTGACTAAGCATCCCGGCTCCCACAATGGCTAGAGGCCCAGAAGGCTTTTCTAGAGAAATAAAGCAGAGCTGTATGAAGCTGCTGCGCGGGCTCACCGAACCTCCAAGACTACCCAGGTGCCTCAGAGGTGGGGCTGAGGTCCATGACGGTGATTTGCAGGTTCCCCTGGGGTTCCTCAGTCACTGCAGGGGGAAGTGAGGGTTGTAGCTGCTGTGGCCCCTCTCTGGGAATGGCGGCAGTCAAAGCCCGATGCCGTGAGCCCGGCACTCAGGGCGGGGCTGGTATGGCCTTGTGCCCGGTCTCCAGTTCTCTTGCATTTGGAACAAGACCTCTTCCCCGCTTGTCCCTGGGTTGTCCCTTAGATGACCTGGGCAGGCTTGTCGCACTGCCAGCCGTGACACTGTAATCTCTGCCTTTCTCTTTGGTCCCTGCTCTGCGTGGGATGGTGGACATGGAAAAGGCCTCGTTCAGCCCCTGGGCCGCAGGTGCCCAAGGCTGTACCCGAAGTGTCTTTGATGAACATCGAGTATCTGGGGTGGATTGACAAATAAAACGATATTCCACTAGTGCTTCTCCCTTCCTCAAAGACGGATCTATATTAGTACATTTACAAAGGACTTAATACACCTTCTGGGGCAGGGAGATGGCTCAGTAGGATAAGTGCTTCTTTGGCAAATGCAAGGGTCTGAGTTCAATCCCCGGTTCCGCAAAAAAAGAAAAAAAAAAAAATACGCCTTCTTTTCCCCTCACAAGAGCAGGCATTGTTTTTAGCCCCCGATGTGCAGGACAGTCCAGCTTGCGTCTGTGGAAGGGAGCACAGCCGCTCCAGGGAGGTGCCTTCCCTCGGAAAGCTGCCTCAGCATCCGCCCTCACAAACCCCGAAGGAGTCTTGGGTCTTTCCGGCCTGGCTGCTCTCTGCCCTGCTGGACATGTGCAGCTGCCGAGGGGGCAAGATCGGGCTTACCGCTGTCCGAACATCCAGTGGGACTCGAGGCCATCTGAGCGCTGAGACGGGGAGTGGAGCTCCCTGCGGGATTGGGGCCTCGAAGGAGGAGGCCAAGAGGCCTCCTAGGGTCAGGGACGTGTGGGGCGTCTCCTCCTCGGGGCCCACCGAGACACACGGCTCCGGGCCGAAAGTCGCAAAGCAGAAACGTGGTGAGAAGGGAAGAACAGCCTCACTGGCTAGGGTCGCAGCCCGCACCCGTGTTTCACCATTTCCCAGTTCATAGGACCCCCAAACGGCGCTGAGGCAGCAGACCAGCTGCTGCCGCGCTGGCTGGGCAGGACCAAACCTTTCCCACTCGTCCAGGGCAGAGTTGGTGCAAAACTCCCTCCAGCTCCTACTCAGATCCAGAAAGAGGGCATCAGCTACATCTGGACTCCTCAAGGTGGTGTTCTTTGTGGAAGGAGGCGTCCAGGAGCCTCAACACAGTGTCCCTTGGGACTCGAGCTCTGACCGGGCAGGCAGCTCTGCCAAATCTTAGGGAGGCCCGCACTGTTCATAGAAGCCCAAGAGGCAGCCCCAGTTGAGGCCTTTTCTGTTCCCATGTTGAGGCTACTAATGCTGCAGGGAGAAGGGGTGCAGCCCCCTGCTGCCCCTCCCTGGTCCTGTGACTCCCCCAAGATAAGCGCAGAACCGTGAAGCGGTCTGGGAGAAACACCACATTTACTCTGAGAGCGAAAAGACATTTGAAGGTAGCAGAGATGGAAACTTTTGTCCCTAAGAATGGGATACTTTTTTTAGTATCAGGAATCGCACTCAGGACCTTGCGCTTGCCAGGCAGGTGCCGTGCCACTGAAATATATCGCTGACCCTTAAATTATTGATTGGCTCCACTTAGGTATCCATAATGATCACATTCAGTACAGGGGCTTCTCACTGTCCGTGGTGCGTCTTGATTCTTCTCTGCGCTTTCCTCATTCCCCTCCCCTCCCTTTAACCTCTTCCCCTCCTTATTCATTTAGATTTGTTTCCATTTTATCCTTTTCTCTTTATTCCTCCACCCTTTCTCCCTCCTCCTCCCCCCTCCCTAGTTCCCTTTTCTTTTGAACCATTTCTTCCTATTTCACAACATCTGTTGTCCATTTTGGTTCTCATTTACGCTTCTGTTTCTTATGCCAGAGAGATCATGTGATCTTCACACATGTGCACCCCATTTATTTCACTTGTGATCTCAAGGTGCATTCAGTTAGCTGTAAGTGCCTCCATTTTATCCTTCTTTATGGCTGAGTAATACTCCATAGGGAAAAAAAATACATCTTGATCCATTCGCCAGTTAATGGGCCTTTGGGCTGTTTCCCAGATTTGGCTGTCGCAAACTGTGCTGCTATAAACATGGGTTGCATACATCACGTGGTGTGAAGCTTTTAATTCTTTTGGGAAGATGCCCAGGAGGAGAATGGCTGGGCAGAATGGGACATCTAGTTCTAGTTTCTTTTTTCTTTCTTTTTTTTTGGTGGAACCAGGGATTGAACTCAGGCTCTTGCGCTTTCCAGGGAAGCACTTACTCCACTGAGCCATCTCCCCGGCCCCCAGTTCTAGTTTCTTGAGGAATCTCCACACTGGCTTCTACAGGGGCTGCACCAGTGTGCACGCCCACCAACGTGGAAAAGGGCTCCTTTCTCCCCCAAGCCCCAGCAGCATTTGTCATTGGTTGACTCCTTTTTTAAAAATGTATGTATTGGGCTGGAGAGATGGCTCAGTGGTCTAAAGCACCTACTTAGAACAAGCTTAGCAAAGAATCAGGGACCGCAGTTCAATCCCCCAGCACCACATGCCAGCCGGCCCCGCCCCCTGGTGGGCTGAGCTGGTCACACACACACACCACACTCTTTCTCTCTCTCTCTCTCTCTCTCTCTCTCTCTCTCTCTCTCTCAAATAAATAAAAAATAAAATAAAAAAATAAAATGTATGTATTTAGTACAGTGTCTACAGGGTCTCACTACACAGATCAGACTCATAGTGAGCCTCCTGTTTTCAGCCTCCCAAGCACTGGGATTACAGGCGAGCGCCCCATGCTCAGGCTCAGCCTCAGTGTGCCTGGGGGCGGGCCAGGAGGGTACGTGGGCTCGAACCCCAGGTCCCTGCGTCCGCTTAGGCAGGTGCTTTAATTCACTGAGCTATCTGGCCGGCTCTAGTTGACTTCTTGATAGCTGTTCTTTCTGGAGGGAGAGGGAATCTCAGTGTTGTTCAAATTTGCATTTATTAAATGACCAGTGACCTTGAACATTTTTTCAACATATTTATTTGACATTTGTACTTCTTCTGAGAAGTGTCTGTTCATTTCAGATGCCTATTTTTTGGGTCGGGTCTTTAAATTTGGGGGTGGGGGCCTGATTTTTTTCAGTTATTTATGTGTTCATTTGCTCAGCTCAGGCCGCCAGCCTTGTTTCTGAATTACCTGCATTGAGACAAGGAAGGGATCTAGCCAGAAGGTGGCAGCTCCAGGCAGGGCTTTAGGACTCAGAGGCGTTGCATCAGCTCTGGGCCAAAGCGGGCCTGGCTGCTGGCTGCTGGCTGCGGCAGGTAAATGCTGCAGGTTTTTAAAAGGACAAAGTTTTCTCTTCCGTGGCAGAAGACACTGCTGGCTTCAATAATTCAAACAAAACAAGGATAAAGCCCCTATGTTCTCTAAAATCAGGGGCTTATCTCCTATCTGCAAGATGAGGTTTTGTCAGGTCAATTGGTAGAGAGAGAGAGAGAGAGAATGCTTCTTAGCACTGGGGAGGCTGAGACAGGAGGATCACTCTGAGTTCGAGACCAGCCTGGGCTATAACGTGAGCTCAAGGCCAACCTGAACTGCCTAGCGAGATTCTGTCGCACAAAGACAAAAATAACAACAACAAAAAAGAAAAACCTCCAGTGGCTAGCACAAGGTAGCAGTGTGAGGGCAGGCCACCCCAGAGACACAATAGTGAGCTCCTCCTGCCCTCTGTCCTCTTGTTCTTCCCATGTGTCTCAGGAGCCCACAAGGATGTTACATACACATGGGGTCCTGAGAGCTACCGGGCACCTGCGTCCCGGGGCCTTATGATTAATCCTGCCTCCCCCTCCAGCCTGGTTTGCCTCCACCTGCCGTCCTGCCTCACTAGCAGGGAGGGAACAAGCCAAAGACAGAAGATCTACTCGTTGGGGCCAGGGAGATGGCTCAATAGAATAAGCGCTTGCCTGGCAAGCTCAAGGGCCTGAGTTCAATCCCTGGTTCTGCAAAAAAAAAAAAAAAAAAAAAAATCTATTCACACTCCTCCAATACCAGGAGGCCGAGGCAGGAGGATCACAAGTTGGAGCCGAGCCTGGGCAACTTAGCAACCTAGTGAGACCCTGGCTCAAAATGTTATTACAAAGGAGTGGGTGGGGGGCTGGGCATGGAGCTCAGCACACAGGCCCTGGGGTTTCATTTCAGGTTGGCAAAGGAAAGCGAGGCAGCGGGAGGAAGGCAGGGGATGCAAATGAATGCAGCGCCCCATCTCCAGCCTCCCGCTGTCCGCCTGGTGGGCTCTCGGAGTCTGCACCCACGTTTGCAGGTAAGGCCTGAGTTTAAATCTCAAAGTCAACTCCAGGTGAACACTGATTCTGGACACCGTGAGGACCCACTGTGCACCCGCGCGACCCCAGCCCTTGTAGGAGTGTTAGCTGCCTGGCACCCTGGGTCCCTCTGCCCCTGCTCTGCCCACCCGACGCCTCCAACTGGCTTGCGTTCCTCCTGCCTCAGCCTCCTGGAGCGCTGGGATGACAGGGTGCCTTTGATTCATTATTCCATACCCAGCCTCCGCTGGGTTCTCAGCTGATCTTCCCCGCTGCCTGCCCGTCTGCCCTGCTGTGTGTCCTGCGCTGTCACCCAGGCCCACGCTGGGTGCAGCCACTGCCCTTTCCCTCACACCCTCCCCCAGAGCTGGTGCCTCAAAGGACCTGAGGGATTTTTTTTCTTCCCAAAAATGGAACTGGGACTCATGGGCTTATTTGTTGTTCTAAGAATGTCACTAGGGACACGGACAAAGAAGTCTCATGATGGGGTGGGGGTGGGGGTAGACAGAGGCATCGAGGTTTCCTAGAGCAGCAGGAACAGGGACAGGTGACACCCAGTGACAGCAGCTGCCCTCGCCGCTGGGTGTGACCTGGAGGTCACGCGTCCATGTGTGGGTCGGGCTGGTTGTGAGCTCTGCCTCCATCTTAGGAGGGTGAAAGACAAAGGAACTGAGGCTCAGAAAGCAGGAGTCACAGCAAGCACCAGGACATATACGCTGGAGCTCCTCAGTCCTTCTCTGGGGCCTAGAAAACTTTCAGGTGTCCCCCCCAAGATCCCAGAGAGGACAGCCCTGGTCTTTGTCCTCAAGGGTCTTTTTTTATTTGTTTTTGAGATTGGGTCTCACTATGTAGGTCAGGCTGGCCTTGAGCTTACTTTGTAGCCCACGCTGGAGTGGAACTCACAATGATCCTCCTGCCTCAGCCCCCAAGTTCTGGGATTTCAGCCCTTAGCCACCATTCAGGGCAAGTTCTCCATTCTTACCACTTGCACTCAGAAAGGCTCCTTGATGAAGTGGATATTGGAGCTGGGGCACTGAAGGTTGTATAGGAGTTTACCAGAATTAGGCAACATCAGTAACAAGCCCATCCTCTGTCTCCTAGATGTGCCTGACCCTGGGCCAGCCGGATGGGGTGGTGACCCGCTGAGACCTGCGCCCTCCAGCGCCATGTGGCCCAACGATACTGCTCTGGGGCCGTGTTTCCGGCCCACGAACATCACGCTGGAGGAGCGGCGCCTGATCGCGTCGCCCTGGTTCGCGGCCTCCTTCTGCGTCGTGGGCCTGGCCTCCAACCTGCTGGCGCTGAGCGCGCTGGCGGGGGCGCGGCCGGGCGGCTCGAGCCCGCGCTCCTCCTTCCTGACGCTGCTCTGCGGCCTGGTCCTCACGGACTTCCTGGGGCTGCTGGTCACCGGCATCATCGTGGTGTCCCAGCACGCGATCCTCTTCGACTGGCGCGCCGTGGACCCGCGCTGCCGCCTCTGCGACTTCATGGGCGTCGCCATGGTCTTCTTCGGCCTGTGCCCGCTGCTGCTGGGCGCGGCCATGGCCTCGGAGCGCTTCCTGGGCATCACGCGGCCCTTCTCGCGGCCGGCGGCCGCCTCCCCGCGCCGCGCCTGGGCCTCGGTGGCGCTGGTGTGGGCGGCGGCGCTGGCGCTCGGGCTGCTGCCGCCGCTGGGGCTGGGCCGCTACTCGCTGCAGTACCCGGGCTCCTGGTGCTTCCTGACGCTGGGCGCGGGCGCGGGCGACGTGGCCTTCGCGCTGCTCTTCGCGCTGCTGGGCGGCCTCTCGGTGGCGCTGTCCTTCGTGCTCAACACCGTCAGCGTGGCCGCCCTGTGCCGCGTCTACCGCGACCAGGAGGCCGCCCAGCAGCGCCCGCGGGACCGCGAGGTGGAGATGATGGTGCAGCTGCTGGGCATCATGGTGGTGGCCAGCGTGTGCTGGATGCCGCTGCTGGTGAGTCGGGGCCGCGGGGCGCGCGGGGCGGGCTCCTTGCTGTGGGGGCTCGTTAGCCTGACGCCAACGCCCCCCAAGTGCATGTTCCAGACCGGACGCATGTGGGGGACTGAAGTGCAGAGAGGGCCCTCGAGGATAAGATAGAAAAGTTTGGGTTAGATCCCCCGCGTGCCGTGCCGGCCCCGCCCCCGGAGCGCGCTGAGACTGGGCCTCATGGTGTGTGCCTGGAATCCCAGCACTTGGGAGGCTGAAAATAGGGGGATCACTATGAATCCGATCTGTGTAGTGAGACCCTGTAGACCCTGTACTAAATATATTTTTGAAAAAGAAAAAAGTTTGCAGAGAGAGGGCTTTGGTGCTGGGGCTTTGAAGGATCAAGAGGAGTTCATTTGCTAGATTAAAAATGGGGAAAGCACTGTGGATGGAATTGCTGTCAATGATTTCCAAGTCCACTTTGTGTTAAGCACAGGGCTGGACTCCAGTAGACCCACACAGATTTTTCTCTGGGTGGATCAGAGTGCTAGGCTCAGAAGAGGAGCCTATTTATCTTCTTGGCATGGAATGGAACCCAGGGCTTTCACAATGAGCTACACTTCCAGTCCTTTTTGAGACAGGGCTTGGCTAAATTGCTAAATTGCTCACACTGGGCTCAAACATGTGATTCTCCTGCCTCAGCTTCCTAGAATGCTGGGATGACAGATGTGGGCCACCACATCTGGGGCCAAGGTTCACTTTTGTAAACGAGTCCTTCCATTGAATGCATACAGGTGTCCACCAGGGGCTTAGTTCCCTCTGGTTATGGGATTAACGAGATATTACTAGGCCTGGGCATGATGGTGAATGCCTGTAATTCCAGAACTGGGAAGGCTGAGGCAAGAGGATTGCCAATGGTTTAAGGCCAACCTGGGCTACACAGTGAGTTCAAGGCCACTCTGGACCACATAGAGACCCTGTTTCAAAAAACCAAAAAAGATGCCAACACAGGTTGGGATCAGAAAGAAACATTGAGGAATTTAGTGATTCTAACTAGGATGGATGGCTCCCTTGATTTTGTCCAATAGGTAAATTCCTATTCATCCTTTAGAACCCCAGTTTCCATGGTTTAAAGCAGGGCAGAGTTCATTCTGGAGGGCAGGGAGAAGGAGGCTGCAGGAGACTTGAGGAGTGAACTGCTCAGGGACCTGGGGAGGTGCTCCAGGCATGGCTGTGCAAACTGCCCTGCGGCAGGACAGCACTGGGCAGTGTGCGGGAGCAGCCCCGAGTCGGTGTGGCTGGAGTGGAGGGAGTGAGGGGCAGAGTGGGAGCAGGGGAGGTGGGCGGGTTGGGGGGGCGGACCGGGGCAGCCTGCAGGGTCCCTAAGCTGCAGGGAGGGCCTGGGCTTGGGATCCCTGAAGGGCTGAGGGCCGGGGAGAGAGCCGGGATCGGTGCTCACACGCCCCCTGGTGTAGGGCTCCCAGCGGTACACCTGGCCCCCCAGAGGTCAGGCTCTGCTGTGACCCCAGGGCACCAGCGCTCCGGTAGTGCTCGTGCGGCTGTGCATTTTAATAAAGTGCAAGTTATTTCAGTATAACATAATTCTTAATTATAATCATTTGCAATTATAAACTTGAACCAGGTGTGGTGGTTCAAATAGCCCAGCTCTGCAGGAGGCTGAGGCAGGAGGATTGAGAATTGAGGTCAGCGTGGGTAACTTAGGTATGCCCTGTCCCAAAATGAAAAATAAAAAGGGATTGAGATGTAGCACCGCAAAAAACAAATAAAATAATATAAATACCGTAATTATTATGTCATTATAACTAGTAGTTATCTCATTATGCTATGTTATAATTAAATAATGCATAATATGCAACATTATATAATGATGTGTAATTGTATTCATAATTACATTAACTATATAATAATTGTTATATATTATTTTTAAGTAGTTGCCTGTTACATAATTAAAACTTATTTTATATATTTAATAGTAAATATAAGTTATATGTTGAAATATATATTAAAATGATGAAATATACACTTTAGTATAGAGAATTCTTTTTTTTTTTTTTTTTGTCTTTTGAAACATGATCTCACTATGCAGTGCGGGCTGGCTTTGAGCTCACTCTGTAGCCCAGGCTGGTTTTGATGTATTTGGCACAGGGTCTCACTACATACCGATCCTCCTGCTTTCAGCCTCCTCAGTGTTGGGATTATAGGCATGCACCACCACGCCTGGTCTCAGTGGCGGGTTGGAAGTGCCCGGAGGTGGGGCTAGTGTGGCCTGTGGGGCCGGGGATTGAGCCCCAGCCCCTGTGCTTGCCTAAGCAAGTGCTTAGTTTGCTGAGCTATCTCGCCAGCCCTCCCAGAATGGCCTTTAAAATATA